GACTTACTGCTGATGCCATCAATTCTTACATTGTCAACTTTGAGTTTGACACAACAAAACTGGAGCTTTATAAAATTAATGTTTAACAAAAACTTCTAGACAATTAATACTGACCTTAGGACAAGAGAGATCTTTTGAACGTAAATTATGAAGAACTAATTTCTGGGCAAATGGTGAATAGTTAGTGATTTCTTCTGGTATTTGAACTATATTGGTTGGATCAATTTCTTCACTATTACCATAATCTATAAACTGGATTTTCACCTGAAAAAAACACCATTTTTTACAAGAATAACAAATAAGATTCAAAAGGATCCTGTCTTCCAGCAAGTCCTTATTTGACTTGAATAATCATATGGGAATAGATGAAATAGAGAAATAGAAAAAACATGGTTATAACAATAAAGCCCAAAAAAATACAATAAACTAATATAATCTATATAGATTCAAGACTGTAATATCTATGTAAGCTATGTACAGTAACATTAACATTACCTTATTAGGACCATAATTTTGTCTAACTTGACATCTATACCACAAATCATCTTCACTAAATTTAGCAGCATATACCTGAAAATAACAAGACTATGATTATGATGTAGGTTTTCAAAAGGAGATCCAAGTTAAAAGACACAACAGCAGAATGGCATCAGGTGTTGAAAGTGATCACTTGCTGCCTCAATAGTAGCTCCAACATTTACTATTGATATCCAAGAGACAATAGATATACAGTTATAGATAATAATTACAATGAACCTGAAAGAATCTCACTCATATCTTTATTGTGAAAGAAATTAAATGGATTTGCTACTTATTAAGCCAATAAAGATGCAGGGGCCTAGATAAGTTTTCAACTCCTAATTGAGCTTATGAAGACATGGGGTGAAGGATTGTCTAGTAAGATTGTGTTGGTCCTAACAGAGCTATGTCGGCATGCAGCTCTGGAGGCATTTTTAGGTCTAGATTTAGATAATGAAAATTTAAGTGTATATTCCATACCTTACTATACTCGAGAGGTAGTGTAGCCTGAGGAGCTGAAGGACAAAGATCAGCCAGCTGTTGTAATACATTTCTAATCTCTGTTAAATTCTCTTCACTAGACATCTGAGCGAAGACTGTTATAGGTGTTTCAGCATGTGTTATCTGTACAAAGTCCTGTAAAAGAAGTATATGAGTTTGTTTGTAAAAATCTTAACAGTTTATTTTGGAAAAGCTTTTACACTTCAATACTATTTGATTGTTATCCAGTTACAGGATTAAATTTGTTTGAATAGTCACAACAAGCTTTCAGACCTGTTGTAAGATTTGAACTACATATAGAAGCTAGGGGCACACATAACAAAACACAAGACAATATTATGGAATATAACACACTTCTTTAATAAGGTTGGGCACATTTCAACACAATATACATGTGTCGTCATCAGATGTAATACATTACATTAGAGTCTAATAAATAATAATAATTAACAAAATAGAAGTTAGAGAGAAAAAACTTACCTCCATAAGATCTTTTGAAGAGGCATTTGATGCTGTTTCAATATTTGACACTAGAAAATAACATTATTCAATAATGAAAATTACAATCAGTTTGAATGACATATTCAACTGATATTGTTCATTAATCACAAAGCAATCAATGAAATGCATTAAGTGCACCTCATTGATTTAGTTGTCTTTTGTGGAATATTCTGAAAATAATGATTAAAGTTCAGTGTTTCTGACTAAGCTTTATGTAATAACAGCTAAACAATACAAACAAGAGTAAACAAACTCTCTCCAAAGCCAGGCTTTCAACACAACGTCAGTCCTGTTTAAACACTAGGTCACACACTATGGTAAACTATAAACTTTAGGTATAGATAAGTATTGTGCCTTCTTTTCTACTTGCTATATCTTAAAATCAATGTATAGATAGTAGAGAAATTAAAGAACTATCTGCACTCGAGACAAATTTCCAATATTGATAAAATTACCTAAATCAGGTTCTTTCTGAGACAAACCAAATCCAGAGCTTGGTTTATTAATTCCAAAATTACCATCATTTGGCCTGCAAATTAGGAATGAATCATAGAAAAACATCCAAATACAATGAACAATGCACAGATATATTAGAGGACATGCTTTTCTGAAACTGGCAAATTATTAATACATATTATTGGTATTTCCTATCTTAAACATAAAAAAGTTTGATAATTTGAGTTTTGAATTTTTAACATATTGATTGGGATCAAAGTAATTTTACGATTTTTAAGGAATTATTGTATATCTGTGTGTATAGTGCACAGTTTTTACCCTCAAAAGGTCTTGCTAAACTAGTGGTGCGCATTATAGACATTGCCAAAAAATAATGATTTTGAAGCTTTAAAGTTACAAATCATGACCTCATCATAAATTCTGTCCATAAACTTAAAAACAATAATTTTTTTTTAGGTAATATAAGAATTATCAAATACCTTTTTCTTGACTCTGATCTCCTCACAAATAGTTTATTTCCCTCTATTTCAAATCTATTATTAGCAGCCTCTTCTATAGCATTCTGAGCATCTTCTTCACACAAATATTTCACAAATCTAAAATAGTATTTTTTTAAAAATAAATATGCATGCTAATCCGATTAAAGAAACAGAAAAAGTCACTTTTTCAAATCTTTAGCATGTTTGTTAAGGGCCCAAGGGGGTGTGGGTTAAATGATGACATTTTACTATTTGAATGAGGACAAATTTACCCTTCATTGATCTGTTACTGAACTTTGTACAGTAATTAAGTATTTTAACACAAAACCTGTTATCAACCTTCCTGACTCTCCTGTTCCAAGAAAACACTCTGTGTGCAATACATATAGTTCCATATAAAAAGCCTTATATCTCATTGCATAAATACCTCTTCACTTTAGTTTTTTTTAGAATTTCCTTTGAAGATTTCTGAATAATACTTACGCCAATTTGGTTCCAGGCTGATTGGCATTTCTCACAATAATGGCTGCTATTTCTCCATACTTGTTAAATATTTTACCCAATTTTTTCTACAGAAATAAAAATCATAAAATGTTTGATCATTTGAGCAAAATCTAATAGTTACTCCTTCATACATAACTAATAACTGATAGAAAATGGAAATTCAGAAATTAGAATGGAATTTGTAATGATGATAATATAAAAACAAGAACTAACAATAGCAAACTATTACAAACTTAGTGCTTATATCTTGACTGCAATAATCACCTTTCATGTATCATGTTTGTTGTAAATTAAGTGATTTGATTGGATTGTTTCTAGTAGGGCTGGGTGATATTGGTTTTTAAAAGTTGATATCAGGATATTAAGCATTCATACATTATCACGATATGGGTAGGCCTATATATCGTGATATTTAAAATCTATGGTTCATAATGGTTTTGATACAAAATAATATGTCATGATAACTACCATATATCACGATATGGTGATATTTCAGTATCTTTTATTCGCCCAAGCCTGTTGCTAGCAAATACAACCAATCTGGACCTTGACAGGAAGTCTGTGAACACAAACACAAGGCTTAACTTATGCTGCCTTTATGTCAAGTATTCCCTGGCATTAAATCCAATCAAATCCCTGCAATCCATAATACAAGATAGCTGGCTATTGCAGTTAGATATCTTGTCAAGTTGTCATTGTGAAGATGGCTTTCATTAGGCACCCAACACCTGTGTAAATAAAGTCTATTTGTTTTCTAGATCTAGTGCCATACATAGGTCAGGGCCAAAGAAACTTGAGAGGAAATAAAGGAATGGTATGACAGTGCATCGCAACATTAAATGGGTTTGATAATAATATTACGAAACAAAATGATGGGGGGGGGGGGGGCATTTTTGAGCGAAATTCCATTTCTTTATTGGAGACAAAATGCTTACTATACCTGGTCACAGTCTTCGGGGAGATTACCTACAAACACATCGAAAGTTTGTGGAAATCGTCGTTGATTTGCCATCTCTTACACATTAATCAGTGTTTAATGTCAGGGAAATCAAAGAATTCTTTTTTCCAGCTCGGCCACATTGGGGTAAGGGGACATAACTCTATTTAAGGATGTTTCTCGATTACCTGGTAACATAATCCGAAATGTCATTTCTAGGTGAGCTCTTGACATATTTTGTGCGAAAACCTGACTGGATTAAATATCAGCTAAATTTTTTTTATTTTTTAGTGATGTTCATAGTAAATCTTGAGTTTTATCATTTTGTATTATTATGTTGCGAATTATAATCAAACTTAACGTTGGTCAACCAAGTATATTATAGTGATGTTTAGAGTAAATCATTTACGTCATTGTAAAGTTTAGATTATAATATGGTATGGTGTTCAGAGAGCCAGATAGGAAGATCACACTACTTTAAGATCAAGACAAAGCCATTTAAGCCATAGTGATGTAGTAGTAAATCATTTATATTCATTTAAAGAGGACTATATTCTACAGTGATGTTTGTAGTAAATCATTTATATTCAATAACAGAGGACTATTTATTCTATGGTGATGTTTGTAGTAAATCATTTATAGAAGACAGTATATTGTACACTAATCAAAGGCAGAAAGTGAATGAATGAGGTACAATGAATCAGGATTCGGACCCTATGTGATCAAGTATTCCTTCTACAGTGATGTTTGTAGTAAATCATTTATTATGCTTTCATTGTAAAGGTAATAAATGATCAGATATCAGTGTAGAGTAGACTTGTTGAAACTTAGAACTCAGTATAAGGTCAAGAGAGCAAGCCATTTATTTCATGGTGATGTTTACAGTAATTCATTATATTTTTCTATGTTTTATTTTGCTATGACGCTGTCCCATTGTGTGTCAACAAAAGATCCAACATATACCAATGACTCAATGTTTTTGGGTTTTTTTTCAAACAGATAAAATCCATTGTCTGTTCCTAGCATAACAGGTAAAATTTTTGAATCGTACAATGATCCTCCAAACCATTTTAATGTAAAAGGTAATAAAAAAAAGATTTTTAAAATATAAATCTGTTTAAACAAGTGTAAAATTTATTACAAACAACAATAATCTATGTATGATATTCATTAACTCTAAAAAAAATATTGTGAGAGCAGTACTTCAAAATCTACAGTGTTAAATACAGGATATTAAAACTATTGAAGCAATGATCAGTATTTTAGAATTCTAAAACTGACGAAATAAATGAGGTAGAATTGAGTCATAAAAACATGCAGATATTGAGAATTGAAAAGTAAGCATTATTTCATTCAATCTCGATTCGAGGACTTGCGCAAATCTTAAGTTGTAAAACTCTTATAGTTTTGGTTCATAATTTATTATTATAAATATAATGACATTCTTAAAAGTCAACAAATTTCTTCTATACATGATGCTGAAACCACAAATCATTTCAAGTAAAATGCTACTATCGCAACTTAAGACTTAATATAAGCCTTCTTAGAGACAGTTATAAAGGAATCAACTGCTCAGTTCCCTCAAATCAATAAAAACTTCACTCTAAAACTTGTTACTTTAAATAACCTAGTGGAATAGTTCAGTGGGTAGTGAGTTGGATTGTCTGCTAGGCGATTAGACACTCTGAGTTCGGATCTTCCTTGAGGTAAGAAAAATTCTAATGCCTGTGCTAGTGGTTTCGAGGGTCGGTCTAATCACTTAAATAACTAAAAGAAGCTTTTTATGAGTGATGTTAGCACCTTAGCCCACACAGAGACTTGTCTATCAGGTCTCTGTAAATACGCCTCGTTCACTGGATTTGATGACTGGTATAATCTCACATGTTCCTGTAAAAGAGTAAAGAAAGATGAATCATTGAATGTTGATGTTTTGAGTCCTGGCACCATATTCTTAAAAACTGCACATTTTGTGATGATCTAAAATTAGAATAATAACAGATGATTTTAGTGTTCCAAAAAAAATTTAAAATTGATTTTAAAATTAAGTTTTAGTATCCAGCATGAATACTGTTATTTGTGAAAATTTAGATTTGACCTTATTCAAGTTTTCGAGATCTTGATTTATCAAAATGGCATCACTTTCTGAGAATATTCATTGAGATTATCAACTTTATAAAATATTAGCAGCTGTTGGAATAATGAAGCAAATAGAAGCCAAAATGACCCAGATACACATTAAAGGTTTTGAAAACTCTTAACAATCCTTTTAATACCCACCTCACGTAACTGTTTTCTGAGATTATCATTATCTGTAACTATAGCTGTCTGACATTCTAAATCTCTATATACAGATCTATAACCTGAAATAATAATTTAAACAATCTTAATGTAAAACTGAGTCGAATTAACATGCATGTTCACGAGAAATGTTCTCGTTGTAGTGCTGTTGATTGGCTCTACTTGCCGATCCTGACTGACGGGGCTGCTCAAATGACCGACGGTCAATATCCTCTATCGGACAAGACTTTTTGTAAGTATGAAATTTACTTTGAAAAATACCATTCTAAAAACAAACTAGTCACAGACTTGTCATGTTTCAAGTTAACTTCAACAAGTCTGATTGGCCAATAAAATCAACTAATTAAAGTTCATTGTGTATGGTTACTATTTTCTTAAAAATAAATGTTTCTGACCAAGTCTAATGACATGTGCTACATACCAAAGTTTGGAGATCCAATAAGTGTCAGAGCAGGTAAAATATCATTAGGTAAATAATACCATAAACCTTTCACATGAAATGTCCACTCAGGTCTGGTGTATTCATACATCTTAATTCTTTTATCTTGATTAAAATAACAGACTGACTGGTAAAACACTCTAGCAATATGTATATAAGCCAAGGGTATTAAGCCAGCTACTCCTTTAGCCCCATAAAACCCATTCACCTAAAATATACAAATCATTTACTGTTGAATTGGTGTATGTTTTACACATTCAGGTCATGAAGATTGGAAAATTTGCCTTGTACAATGAGGGACATTTTAAAAGGACAGTGCCAGTAATCAACTTTGAAGAAAACTTTAGTGTTAGATATGGAATGCTGGGATTATGTTTTGACTCATCCCTAGATATGCAATCATTACATGTAGTCCATGATACTTTTAGGTACCAGTAATGTAAGTAGTAATGGACAGAATAAGTCTAGCTTGTCTAGTTTCAATTTCAGATATTCTACCCAAAAATTAAGTGAACTGCTCATCTTTATGTTTCAAATCATCCCTGGATATGAATAGGTATCTTTCTCCAATTTGAGCAGGAACTTACCTCTGGTGCAGCCATCAAAATACTGAATTTAGCCTGCGAGTCTTTTAGAATAGTTTCTAAATAATTGTCAGTTAAATTAAAATATCCTGATGCTAATAATATCTCATCTTTCGCTGCGGCTTCATTGAATAAACTTAAAGTAGCAATCTCGTCAAATATGATCTCAAACGGCTTCATCTGAATTAAAGGATAAACCCAAGTATCACACTGTTTATTTCTACTGCTAATTTCACTGTGTTTAGTCCATGCTTTAGTTTCGACATCAGAATCACAATGTGTTTTGTCATTTTCACTATTAACGATATTTTCATAAGCTTTAAAATTTAAATTGTTTGATAAGTCACTGTCTTCTCTATCACCGAGATTACTGGTAGATGCTTCAAATTGACGTAATCTCTCTTTATTGCTCTTTACAGATTCTATAAAGTTCAGTATTTCTGTCCTTGCAGCTGTCGTAAATGCCTTTTTACTTGAACCTGAAATAGAAAATAATAAAATAGTTTGGTAAGCAAGGTCACCTACATCGACTGCTTCATATTCAATTTTTTCTCAATAAATGCATCTCTTAGCAAGTTTTAGCTCCAAACATCTATTATCAGAACCATAAATAAAACTATAAGATTACTAAATCTTACTGAAACATCTATCAATAACATTTATATATAACCTGTGCTTCTGATTACTGTACAAGGATTATCAACAGGCAAGATATGCCCACTATTCCAAGATATACTAGTATATCAAGGGCTGTAACTCTTGATAATATTTATCTGATATTTATCTGATGGTGCTAAGATTCAACCCTTCCAATATAATATTGTGAATATAAACCCACATACATTACAACTGTGGCCTCAATCACATCGACAATCAGACAGACAGAAGAGATGGGGTGATGGCAGTATATGTTAATCTGGGTATATAATGAAACTGTAAGCTTCCAACCTTTATAAGGATGTAATTTCCACTGTGGATGTAATGTAACAGTATTATCTGACTGAAGTTGAAATGAAAACTTGGATATTGTTTGTACCAGATTATCAAAGAAATCTGCTAGATCAGGACAATTGTTAAATAATACATATCTATCTTGTCTATTGGTGAAATAATTATCACTTAGGTTGGCTCTGTAAAGATAAAAATAATAAGTATTACACAAATGATGCATGAACACAAGGCAAAATTAGGACAGAACTATGAAAATTTGGCCTAGGTTATGAAGAAAGATCCTGAATTTATTGGAATACTTAGAACTCAAACTCTTTACTAACAGAAGGATTAAATCATAATCAACCACTTGCAAATATAAATTCAGTGTAAACCAAATTGAGGTTGCCTCTAAGCTCAGAGTATCCACTGTTTCCTATTCCAATATACCAAGAAGACACTGAACTCTTATAACTTACCCACTAATAATAACACTGTCATCAAATATATAGGCTTTTACATGTGTTAATCCTATAGTTTCATTGAAGCGATCTGGTATTAATAGTTTATATAGACCACGAAGATCAGGGGTATGATATAATGCTATTTTCACATTATTATCAGGATGTTTTAATAAAGGTTGTAACATAGTCCTAGAACTGATGGTCTGTCCTCTAGATCCCCGAGTATAGTCTAATAAAACATTCACTTTAAACTCTTTATTTCCTTCTTTTACTGCTCGACTACAGGCTTCCTGTACAGAATCAACCTGAAATGAAAGGCAATATACTTCTTACTTTTCTGCTATTCATTGGGCTTATGAAAAAATGCAATTCCGTGCAATGAGCAAAGGAAGATCTAATTATCTGTACATTTTTATCATTTATTATTGATCAGGAATCTTAACCAAGCACGGCCTTTATAGCATATTCCATTTAATTTTCCAATCTGAACAACTCAAGACCATCAGATTTGAAATATTTGATTGAATATATCTGGTGAGATGGAATCTCACTTTTTCAGGTAGAAGAGCTAGTGTCTCTTCACTCCATAAAACATATAATAACTAATGTGAAATTACTATACCAGTGGCTTCATTCAAATTACATGGGAAATAACTCACCAATTCTGCTTCCAATGTTTCTGTGCCTAAATACAGTGAGGCTAACGTCACCCTCTTCTTAGCTTTTCTAGCCTTGGACTGAAAACAAAACACAGATAGATTGTCATGCAATAAACATTGGAATAGATAAATTCCTATGCTTTATCAATGTACCAAAAGATGGTTGAAGAAATTCAGAATAGGTTCATTGTTTCAATGTTCAAATACTTACTTTCAATATTTCATAAAACTGTTTAGGTTCAGTTAAAACCAAGACATCATCACCATGAATAGGATAGCAAGGTGCTACATCACTCAACCAACTAAAATAATCATAACTGCTTCCCTTAGTTTCAACTTTTGCCAATCTTTCATGTTGTGGTCGATTGCATGTAGCCAACCGCTTAGTTTCTTTGCCCCTTCAAAATAAAATATACAGAAGTTTTTAAAACTTTGAATATGATCCAATTTTATATTTAACCAACCAGTCGCCTAAAGACAAAGAAAGCCACAGAATGATATGTTCAGTATCCTGTCATGGGATAATGACAAAAAATCAAAAAGCGTAACAGGCTTACAATAGACAAAACAAACGGTAAGCAGGGAAATAAATGTTGAACAGGTAAGTGTCCCCTTTGGTAAAGTCTGCACTTATACATATTATAATCTTATAGAGATATAAATTGGCCACATACCATATGTAAGACCAGAATGGTACCCCGCTTAACATTAAAGACTTCCACATGTCTTCTGTTCTTAGGATTTATTATGACCTATACAAGGAGATAATCATATATTCAGAATTTGTTCAGTAAGTGTGTTTCTGTTCATAAATCTATCCCTAAAATATCTCTTAAGCGACACCCAATTAAAAACTTGGCAGTAAATTGGCAGTTGATCTGATATTTAAGAGTGAGTAGACATACGCTGTACAACGTCAACAGGGTCTAATTGTTAGACTACCTGTCTTGCAAGACTGGAAATAATCAGTTTTATAATTTATTATCTTTGATTTGTTTTAAAGTGCACTGTCTCATTAACAGGATAAGAAGGCTTCCTCAGACTTTAATTTACTGGGATAATTCACTGTACCATGGCATAATAGGGATTTTAATGCCTTGGCTTGCTTGTTTATCACTTTATGTTTTGAAGAAAATTTTTAGAAGCCACAATTTGATCAGATGTTATAAAATACCATCAATTTTTATTTCAAATATTTTTCTCTGCAATATTGGAAGACTGATAATAAAATATAACTTGTTTGTACCGAAAACTAGCTGTTTTATTTGACTTTAACCTTGTCCCAAGCAGACGAAATATATTTTTGGCCACCATGTTGAATTTCCGTTAGGTTACGTAACTCTCCGATACTTCCCGAAATAACCGGAAGCAGTCTAAAAATACTCGGAAATGATTATCCAGACGCTTGAAAGAAATCGTAGTGTGTCAAATCGGCTAAGTTTATAGCAGTCTTTTTTCGCATTATTCAAATGTTATTCATTGCTGTAAAAGTTCATATCATATTTGTACCTTCAATTTGAAATCGAGTATTGGCATATTTGAACCGATTGACCCACTTTGTCATCAGTGCGATTTGGCAAAGGGCGATACGACTGTCTGGACAATCAAGAATTAAACCCTAACAACCAGCCATGACAACTGACGCTTTCGCAACCAACCATTCACATAAATAACATGAGAATGACGGCTCCAGTAAGAACTTGCTTAAATGACACTAGAAAGCATCAGTAGATATCAAAACTTTCAAGAACAACTGTTTGATATCTACCGAAATAACTGTGTATCATATTGATTCGTGAAATTAACAGTTAACTGTGATAAATTGTGTGTTAGGTTGCGAAAAGCAGACGATCAACACCAAACAGTGTCAAAATGGCGAGCGATTTAGAAATAAGTGACACTCGCGTGCAGTTTGTTGCAGATTATGTATTGAAGACATTGAAAATAAAACCAGACAAATGGACCAAGATGTACAGTGTTGATGAAACAAAGCAAATGTTTTTAGATTATTTTGAAAAGCAAGACTTGATTTCCATTGTCATTATTCTAAGTTCATCTGGAGGATTGTCAGTTCAGTTGGAATGGCCAAATAACCTCAAAGGAAAAGCCTGTTATTTTGTTAAAAGAACTCGGGAACCAATCCAAAAAGACACAAATCTAAGGAATGCTCTGTTATATGGAGATCTGGCGTATTCACCCCTTGATCAACTTTCAGCATTTGTAGATGAAGTATGTATCATTAATCATTGATTAGATTTATAAGACTATGACTAGCCTATGCTCTGAATTCAAAGTCCACCTTAATCAACATGCAACATGACCACAATACATGAATGGGTCTGGTTATTTTAAGAGCATAGGCAAAGCTAAACTGTGCTCCAATTCATTTGAATGATCACCTGTAAATAGAAAATTAACAAAGTTTCAATGCAGTTGCATGACTTCAAAATAACTTTAATCAATGTTTTATAAATCTTTAATCATTACCTTTGTTAATCAATAACAAATCTTAACTTTTCTTTTGTTTAACTTATTTCAGGTTCTAGTCCCACTTTTATCAAATGATAGAAACCATGATCACTGGCCTAAAGTAGTTTCCACTGATGTCACGAAACATGTACATAGTCTAAAGAGTAATGTGTTTGTTGTATCTGGACAAGCCAAGGGTAAAACATTATTACCATTACCAGTTGGCGCTGAAAGAGTTGAAGAATCCATTCAAGAAGAAGAAAAGTAAGATAATCTCATCTGAAATTGTTTCACTTATTATAAATAGAGATTATCTTAATCCAAATTGAATCTGATCTAAATTGATAAGCTTATTTATGATAATCCTAATTAATAAGCTTAATCAAAGCCTAATAAGCTTAACAGCTCAATTAATGTATTTTACAGATCTTTGTTGAATTATAAAAAAAATGTATTAATATATATGAATTTCATGCCTTTAATTATTTTAAATTTCAGAAGTGATACCTTTGACAGAACTTTAGTTCATGCTATTGAATCTGTTATTATTGAATGGACCCATCAGATTCGCGATGTCTTAAAGAGAGACTCAGCTCAACCTCTCTTAGAGGGCCTCAATCCTACACCCTTTGTAGAAATCAAATTCTGGGAAAACAAAGCCCAAAATTTAGAATGCATTTACGAACAGGTAATTATGCTTAATTTTGCTATCGATAGATTTTTCCAAACAAACCAAATATTAAAAAAAAGTGGTAAAATATAATTTAACAGTTTGCCAATACTTCTTTTTTCAAGAAACTGTTTCTTTATAGTCTTTTATGTGAATCACAGAAATTAATTGCTTTTATTTGCATAATACACTGTTCTTCTGAATAAAATTGAAAATGATATGTAAGAAAATCTTTCAAGTCTTCAGGTGACTTAATTCATAATCCTTTATTTTTCAGCTAAGAGATCCAAAGGTGAGGAAGATGGCTGAGCTTTTAGAAAAAACCAAGAGTAGTTATTTCCCATCTTTTAAGAATATCTTCAGAGATGTAGTAGCTGGTGAGTGTTTCTAATTCTGAGAAAAAAAAACTGATATGACTTGACTAACTAGATTAGAAATCTGCCATGTGAGACAAGATTTTGGCAACATTTACAAAACTCTCATAAGAGGACCAATAACTTATTGGTATTTCCTCCACCTAAACAGTTCGACTATTTCTAGTACAACAAATATGTTAATATTCCACAAAATCTCTTTCAGCTTTGACCGAGGCCCAAGACATCAATATGTATCTTAAGCCCTTACGACACTATTTAGAAGATTTGGAACAGGCTGAGTTTGATGAATGTATACCACTATTATCACCTACTATCTATACTGTATGTTTAGTTTGGTGTCAATCTAAATTCTACAATACACCGGCTAGAATCATTGTCTTATTACAAGAAATCTGTAATATGGTCATTGAAATGGTAAGTTCTTTTTTTTTCTGAACGAATTTTTTTTCTAATGATTCTCACCTGATTGTTTCAATTGTCTGATCTCCTTGTTACAATATTATGGAGATAGCTAATTCTGCAGCAGTTAGTATGTGGATATGTGTAGTTCAAATCATAATAATGCTACAGCTCTCAAAGATCGCTATGACTTATCTTTTAATTCTTTTCTATAGTTTAATTGTAGCTTCGTTTTAATATTACAAATAGCTGGTTGCTGAACAATACATTTTTTAAATTTTATTGAATTAATGAATGGAACGTTTAAATTTAGGCTGGAAATTTCTTGGATCCAACTGAGATATTTAAAGGTGAAGTAGAAGAAACGATTGATAAAGTGAGAAAAGCCTGTGATGTGTTGAAAGCTTTTAAAGATACTTATGAGAATCATAAGAATAGTCTCAAGACTTACTATGAGAATGGTGATGGAAAGGAATGGGAATTTGACCCACAACTTGTTTTTGCCAGATATGATAAATTTAGGGAACGAGTTGAAACTATTAGAGTGAGTAGCGTTTACAATGCTTCTAAATTCTCATTTGAAATTTGTCAATAGACATCAATAGTTTATTTTATATTTGTCAGTATTGTGCTCATTTCAAAGAGTTCAGTTATTTAATTTGGCATAAACCCAACAACAGTTTTCATGAGGTCATTAAATTCTTAGCTAAAGGGAGATAATTTGAATTGTACAAAATCTGAAAAAAGTTCTAGATTTGTTCTTAATTTGATGATAATCAACATGAAATGATCTTAATTAAATAGTTTATGCATAGATAAGTAAATATTAAGTTTAAAACCCTAGCTACCCTCATATCATCCCGGTCAAAACTTGACTTCGAATCATGAACACTGTGTCAAGGGAGATAACTCTGTTTTATTTCAGGAATTGATGGAGACTGCCTTAGAATTTATGAAATTAGAGAAAATTGAACTGGGTGGAATTAAAGGAAAGGCTTTAAGTGGAGCTGTATTATCTATATTTGAAGAATTCAATGAACTGTTTAAAGTATTTTCTGAGAAATCATATGATTGTTTGGATCCCAGCAGTGATGTAAGTGGGGCGTTTTGTTTTCTTAAAAAAGAAGTTCTCTATAAGATTGAGCTCCACTACAGTGGTTACTATATAGGATATTGCTAGTAAGCAGGAAGCTTACTATCTTTGAACACATGACTCCACTCTGCAACTTAAGCTTATAATCAGTTATGTTTTAGTTCATTTACTTAATTCAACCCATTTTTTTTTTTTTTCAGGAATTTTTAAATGATTATAAATCATTTTTGGAGAAAATTGGTGATATTGATCGTCGCCTAGCAACCATTATTTGTCAAGGTTTTGATGATTGTTCTGGTTTAGAATCTATTTTCAAGGTAATTATTAGTCTTAGATTTACAATAAGAACATTTTTTATTTTGCAAAAATCAAAAAGGATCAAATCAACACATCCAATAATTTACAGATCATCCAAGACTATTTTCTTTTAGAAAAAAAAGTCAATTACCCAGACCCTCAAGTCAATACAAAAAGTCATATTAAAAAAGATGATTGCGTCTTCCTTGTATCAAAATCCATTTTTTTCTTTTTCAGTTAATTGATATAATGAACACATTATTAGAAAGGCCATTAATCAAGAAAGATTTTGATGGAAAATATCCACATGTGGTGGCCATGATGAACCAAGAATTGGACGAAGTTAAGAATATTTATGATATACAGTTAAGGAAAAAGAGAGAATTAAAACGACCACCTATACATAAAAATATGCCATTAGTAACTGGCTGTTTACGCTGGTCAAAAGAAGTGTCAGAAAGATTAACGATACATATGGGAAATTTCAAACACATAGAACATCCGTAAGTTGTTTATTTATGATTTGGTTATGCGACTCTTTTGTATATTACTGCTATCAATTCACTTATCAGCTTTTTCGAATCATAGTCTATAAATTTGACAAAATTTATTTGCAATAAAGACAATTTTGAAACTCTGTCATATTAATTATATCAATTTTAAACACATTGGAAAGATCATTGTCAAAAAATTAGACAGGATCCTTGGAACCTAAACCATTATCATTCTTAAATAAGGATGTTTCTTTCATGTAACTTCATAGCAAAATTTCCCTCATTGTACACTGCAAGGCATTACCTGTCTTCATAAGCCATCCATTCATTGTTATTACTGATGTTGTAAATCAAAACATTTTTAATTTGAAGGTGTATGGAGTCAGAAGAAGCCCATCTTGTATTTACTAAATATGAACAGATGATGGGATTATTAACTGAATGGGATAAGGAGGTGTATAAGGATTGGACAGCTGGTGTCGAGGAGGCTTGCTCATTTAATCTCTCACAACCATTAATAACACGAAATGAAGAAACTAAATTAATATCTGTTAACTTTGATAGACAGGTATGTTTAATTATTTTATTTTGAAGCAACAGCATCTAAAATGTCCATAATCTGGATTATAATGATGACTGGTGTGGCCATTCTCACTTCCTTGAAACACTGAATGTAACTCTGCAACTGGATTTGCCTTAGACTGTCAATATACCTCATAATGTTATAACATCATACATAAGTGACTAGTTGAACCAGCTGTATAAGGAAAGGGATTATCTGCGAAAGGCTTCATCAAGAACTTTAACCATATAGGCAAATGCCAAATCTTGAAGAAAGTCATTCTTTGCACTCTTTCTATTATAAATTTCTTGAAACCAATCTGATAATCTGTAAATTACAGTTGGTCGCTGTGTTACGAGAAGTGAAATATCTAGAAATTCGTGGTGAAGAAGAAGTTCCAGGCAGCGCCAGTGCTGTGTATTCCAGAAATGATGAATTCCGTAAATACCTAGCTAACCTAGATCTAACAGTACAGTGGTATAATAAAGTACGAACTACAATATTAGAAGTGGAATATCCATTAATAGAAAATCAACTACAAGATATTGATGTACAATTAGAGAAAGCTGAAAAAACTTTGAATTGGAACAGTCAAGGTGAGTGCTGGTCAAAAACTTGAAATGCCAAATCGGATTCAAAAATTTCCACAGCATTAAGGGTTGAAGGGAAAATGATAATCTGAGAAAGATCATTATGAGCTAAGGATCAGCTGTTAGTAATTATTCTAATAACCTAACTGGTTAATCATGGAATTTCTGTTTGCTTCTGTCTTTTTTTGAAGTTAAAGAAAGAATTATTCAATGTTCATTACAGTATATTTGTCACCATTGAATCACCAGTGTTGAGTCAGTAACGAAAGTGAATCGAAAATGGTGTACTTCGCTCAAGCAGTTTTAAAACAAAGTTCTAATAATTGAATAAAGGTTTATGTAATGGATTCATGTACAGGTACTAATTATGGTTATGAATATTTCAGGTGTATGGGAATATATTGAAGAAACAAGAGAAAGAGTGAAAGATTTAGAAACTAGAGTACAGAAAGCTAAGAATAATATTGAAGAAATACAGAAGGTTATGACCACGTGGTCTAAGATATCATTATTTGAACGAAAAGAAGACAAACATGATAGTTTATTACATTTAGATGATAGACAGGATAGACTTAATAAACGTTATAATGAAATTAAAACCGCTGGTGAAAAAATACACGCATTACTCAAGGTAGGTTATCCATTGCTCTTAAACCTTTTTTTTCGTTGGCACTGAAATGAGTTGGCATGTGTCATGTGCTTCATGATGTGCATGTCTTTATTGAAATCAAAAAAGAGTAGGCTTATGTCACTGTTCTTGTAAAATTTCCCTCATTGCACAATGCATGACATGGCCCGTCTTTGTGAGCTTAATCAGGTGCCGAAAAGATGCACTTCTGTGATTTCTCTTGAGCTTTGTGAACTTATGTTCAAAGTGCTAAAGAATATTTCTTTTTTATTTCAGGAAAATCTAGACTTCTTCAAAGGAGAAGCTAACTCTGACATCTGGAAAGCGTATGTAGATTATGTAGATGAAATGATAGTGGATGGCTTCTTCAATACCATTCACTGTAGTTTACAATTCTTACTGGATAATACAACTACTAAAGCTATCTGTGATCCTCTGTTTGAGGCTAGACTAGAACTACAAGTACCAGACATGGTGTTCATACCCTCATTGGAGTATGGTGTAGCTGATGGTTTCTATGATCTAGTCGATGGTTTAGTGGGTGATATCTATAAACAGTCTTCGTTGATACCGCGATTAGCAGCACACAGTGGTCAGGAACATTATCAGGTATGCAAAGCTTTTTTTGAAAATGGAGCTACATCTCCATTATTCTGGACTTACGAGGGCAAGTCAGTAATCTAAGTAGACTCTATCAGTCAACAAAAAGACAGGATTCCTAACTCTTATCTTATTGATACAGTCTAATAGGTTGTGGTGCCCTGAAATTTTGAAAGCTGTTAATGATATCATTGGAACAATATCAATATCATGTAGTTTTGTGTTTTTTTTAGTCCCATCTTTGATTTGGTTTTCCCTTACTTATACTTAATGTAGCTATATTGACACTCTACTGTTTGATATTTCAGCCTGATTTAGAAGATATGGAAGAGTTATCTGAAATGAGGCAAGAAGTAATGGATCGTGTCCAGACTATCATGAATAAAGCCTGTGAATACCGTAACTCGTTTGATAACTACGCCTATCTGTGGGTTGATGACCGTAATGAGTTTATGAGACAATTCTTACTCTATAACCACGTATTAACGTCAGAAGAAATAGAAGCTCATGCTGATGAAGGTGTTCCAGAATCTCCACCAACTCTGGCTCAATTTAAGGAACAGGTTTGTGCTCAAAACATTTCTTGTTGCTTTGATTGGAGTTTTCATTTATTTAATAAAAGCTGGGACAGATTTGGAAAAGCTTAATAGTGAGTTATATGCACTGTTTGTCTATCACTTAGGGTATGTTTATCAAATCAGAAGCTCATTTTAGATAGTAATGGTAGTACATTTAGAATTTACCCCATACATTGTTGAATATCATAAGAAAATCCTATGTGGGTACTTGGCAAGCAGAATATTATTTCTGATTCAAAAGTTATGTATGATCTTCAAGACTATGCGACTACTAATGAGAGTATCTATTTCAGATTGATGCTTATGAAAAGATTTATGAAGAAGCAGAACATGTTGATGCTACCAGTATATTTGATCATTGGTTCCGAGTTGATGCCAAACCATTTAAACAAGCTTTATTGAACATCATTAAACGATGGAGTTTCATGTTTAAACAACATCTTATTGATCACGTTACCAACAGGTTTGTTACCATTATCTTTTATACCTATGGATAGTCCATGACTCAGACTTTAATTTGATAATCTGAAGGTTGAAATAAAAAATGAAACGGATACAGAGGTTGAAGAATTGAGGCAGACATAGTAACTTTGGATTCTTGTCCTTATCAATTAGATCAGAGAAGCTGAAAAGTATATATATTGTGTTAATGATCTTCTTAAACCTATATTAACAATTATTATCTTTGTCTTCCAGTTTGAACGAACTCTCCGATTTTATTAAATCCACTGATAACGGCCTATCACGTCCTGTAGAAGAGGGTGATTATGAAGGTCTGGTAGCTGTTATGGGTAACCTGTTCTCTGTCAAAGAACGTCAATCCACAACTGATGAAATGTTTGAACCACTCAAACAGACTATTGAGTTGTTGAAACAATATGATCAAGAGATGCCTGAAGAGGTCCATCAACAACTACAGGTATGTAGGCATATTCCTATTGTCTGTCACATGACACAAGGGCAAGTAACTCCTATCTACATAAGGGACACAATTTTTTGTTTGGCTTGGTAAATGTTCATCACATGAATTGGCAATGCCAATAGGGGTTTTATGAGATATAAGAATGAATTTCATATTGGGAGAAATTGATGGTGGCAGGGAATAAGGAGGCAAGAGTTTCAAAAAAAAATGGCAAAACCTGAAACTTTCTTTGTAAATTATAATCCATGCATTGTTGATAAGGTCTAAACAATTTGATATTAAATTTGCAGGAACTACCTGAACAATGGAACAATACCAAGAAGATCGCCATAACAGTGAAACAACAGATGGCACCATTACAAGCCAATGAAGTTGCCAATATACGCAGAAAGAGTGCTTCATTTGATGTTGAACAACATAAATTCCGAGAACGATTCCGATCTATTAAACCATTTAGTTTTGATTGTGAACAACCTTACATGTATCTTGACAGAGTAAGTTGCTTCTTTATTCTTCTTTCTTGTCTCTTATCTCATGTTGGACTGTACTTTTTCACTTGTGCATACATGCAAAACTGTTTTGTATAATAAGCGATTCTGCACACTATTTGATCTTGCCTTTAACTTCTTAAATTTTACTTTTTTTCTATATAGTCTTTGTAATGTATAATACTCAAAGAAGACATCTCAAGGGGCTCATTTTTCAGTTTGGTTTTCCAATAAACTTAAGAAACTTATTTGTCAAAATTTATCATTGAATAAACCATATTTTATTTATATTATAGAACCATGAAGAGATTAGTAAAATGGAACGTAATATGGCTCAGTTGTTAGAATCAGCAGGATTATTTGAAGTCAACATACCAGACTTCAAACAACTGAAACAATGTCGCAAAGAAATCAAACTACTCAAAACCTTGTGGGATTATGTTATTATTGTCAAGAGCAGCATTGATGACTGGAAAACCACACCTTGGAAAGAAATCAATGTTGAACAGATGGACATGGATTGTAAAAAGTTCGCTAAAGATATCCGTATGTTAGATAAAGAAATGCGAGCCTGGGATTCCTATATTGGCGTTGAGAATATGGTGAAGAATATGTTAACGTCATTACGAGCCGTCGGTGAACTACAGAATCCTGCTATCAGAGAGAGACATTGGCAACAACTTATGGCTGCCACAAAGGTATAGTTTTATATTTATTGAGGAGTGTTTGATCTCATGTTTGATTGGAGTTTCAATATGGGATCAACCAATTTTATTCTATTGCCTCGTCATAGTTCTGCATGTCTCCAGGCCTTGGGCTTCTTACTTGGTTATATTTGCTAATCAAATTTGTTTAAAGCTGTTATATCCATCTCAGTTGTGCTGTAATATTGCATTGTGCATATCCAGTAAACATATTTGACAATATCATACTTTGTTTCAGGTACGATTTATGATGGATGAAAGTACAACATTAGCTGATCTCCTGTCTCTCAATCTACATAACTATGAAGAGGAAGTCCGAACTATAGTGGATAAGGCAGTAAAGGAAATGTCTATGGAGAAGGTCTTGAAGGAATTAGATGTGACTTGGTCCACCATGGAATTTGAACATGACAAACATCCTCGTACTAGTATTACAATATTAAAGGCTAGTGAAGAATTGATTGAAACACTTGAAGATAATCAGGTAAGTCATGGAATATTTGCTACAAATCAGAAATTTTGCAATGTCTTTCTAACATGGATGTCTCGTCTGCCTTTCACATGATAATTCAAAATGTACTTTTGTATTTTTCAAACCCGTTTCCTGTTTTCATTGATAAATATTTGAGATTCTTTTCTCTGTATGTAGGGAACCATACAGAAGAGTGTTGCCTCAGTAAAAATTATTTACTTGTTATTTCAGGTACAACTGCAAAACATGATGACTTCCAAATACATTGCACATTTCTTATCAGAAGTATCTAACTGGCAGAAGAAACTGTCCACAGCTGATCAAGTTATCTCTATCTATATGGAGGTTCAGAGAACGTGGACTCATTTAGAAAGTATCTTTATTGGGTCTGAAGATATCAGAAATCAACTGCCAGAAGATTCTAAACGATTTGATAATATTGATAATGATTTCAAGGTTAGTTTCTTTGTTAATTTTTTTAAAGCATTTTAATTTCTTGTAGATTATTTCATTTATTTCTTCAATGGTCAGGTACAATTAGTTTTAAAGACTATAGTATATTGTTTGTCTTAAAAACTTCATATTGTGCAAAAGTCAATAGACCCCCTACATTTGCCTGCTTGGATATTTTACCATTACTGTACATAAAGATTCTCCCTACCAGATTATGCCCTTGTACAAGTTCTAGTAATCTCCTATACAGTTTTAGTTGATTGTATTTTTGAATGATAAAATATATAAATTGTTTATTACAGGAATTGGTTGGCGAAGTAGAAGTCACCAAGAATTGTGTAGAAGCTACCAATAAACCAAAACTATACGAACGACTAGATACCTTACAAGGTCAACTTAACTTGTGTGAGAAAGCCTTAGCTGAATATCTAGAAACAAAACGTTTGGCTTTCCCCAGATTCTACTTCGTATCCTCTGCCGATTTATTGGATATTCTGTCTAACGGCAACAATCCTCCAGTTGTAAGTAACTCTTATTTATCTATTCTGTGACAGTCGATGTAGGGGGACTAACCAAATATCAAAGTCATGTGCCAACATCAGTGCCTATATGCAATAAATCTTATCTTATCTTGGTCAACTGCTTATGAAGATCAATGAAGTTTGTTACTGGGATGCAATGATGTTCATATTGTCAGGTGAATCGGGTTAGAGAGACTTATGTCTGAATGTTATCCAGTCATTGAAATTGAACTCGGAGGTCTTGTTTGTTATGTGTTCCTTCCATTGCTGAAAAGCAAGTGGGTGTTGTGTATTTTGATGCATACTGCATTGCAAATTTTCATCAGCAAAATAAGGTACAGAAAAGTAAACAGTAAACATAATATTCAATGCTTTTCTTCTGCTTTGTAGGTTGCTCGTCATTTAACCAAATTATTTGACAGTTTGGCTTCATTGAAATTTGAGAAAGATTCTAGTGATAATGAATTGAAATCAGCTCTCGGTATGTACAGTAAAGATGGAGAGTTTGTCACTCTGAATAAACCATGTGATCTCAATGGACAGGTATGTTATTTTATTCTAGCTTTTAAATGTCAATTGAGAATGGTGTCATACTTGCTTCTGCATTTTGTTCACTATAGGAAAAGATTATCCCATACTATTGAAGGAAAGAAAACAAGGAATCTTTGGGTAGATTTCATTGTTGGAATTCTAAGAAAAAAATAGATAGTCCAAAACTTAAAACCTCATGGGACAGCATAACCATTACTCCAGCAAATCCTTCCATTGCATCAACACCTTACTAAGGTAGTAAGATGCAAAATTTCATTTCTGAATTCTGCTTTACAGGTTGAAAGCTGGTTAAATAGATTATTAGAAGCCATGAAAGCTACAGTATTACATGAATTGAATGAAGCTGTACAAGGTTATGAAGAGAAACCCAGAGATCAATGGCTGTTTGATTATCCTGCTCAAGTTGCTCTGTGTGGTACCCAGATCTGGTGGACAACAGAAGTCAATATAGCTTTTGGTAGATTAGAAGAAGGTTATGAAAATGCCTTGAAAGATTACAACAAAAAACAAGTAAGTTTTATTTGTGTCACTTGCAACTTATCTTTCCATTTCTTTTGTGGTTAAGGTTCACATTGGTGCTAGCATTATTCATTTAGCATTAGCTATAATTTGTCCATTTGGTGATACATTGCAAAAAATCATTAGAAATATATCAGATTCAGAATCCACGATTGCATATTTTGTTTCAGTAAGAATTTAGTTATTTAGCTTTGAAAAATGTTTGTTGTATGCTGCAACCTAGAATGTCATTGCTAAGAAATTTTCTCCTTTATTTTCAGATCACCCAGTTGAATTCTTTGATTACCATGTTAATCGGAAAACTGTCTTCTGGCGATCGACAAAAAATCATGACAATTTGTACTATTGATGTACATGCTCGTGATGTCGTGGCCAAAATGATTACACAGAAAATAGACAGTTCTCAGGCTTTCTTGTGGTTGTCACAGCTTCGACATCGCTGGGATGATAATCAGGTGGATTGCTTCGCCAACATCTGTGACGCTCAATTCAGATACTCTCATGAGTATTTAGGTAACACACCGAGATTGGTCATTACACCCCTCACTGATAGGTATGTTCCAATTTCTTGTTATTAAATCAATTAAAGAAAGTTCTAAAACAAATGTAAGCTTTTTATGAAGAATTTGAAAAAGAGTTAAAGGTTATTGAGTCTTGTGTCTTTCTTACAAAATTCCAGTTCCTGCTTTTGGCTGCTTTTAGTTTGATACAGTTCATTAGCTTACAATCTTATAGTTATGTTCATTTTTAATTCTTTTTTCAGATGTTATATCACACTTACCCAGTCTCTCCATTTAGTAATGAGTGGAGCTCCTGCAGGACCTGCTGGTACTGGTAAAACAGAGACTACTAAAGATTTAGGTCGTGCTTTGGGTATTATGGTATACGTCTTCAACTGCTCTGAACAGATGGACTACAAGGTATGATGGTTATTTACACTCTAAACAAGAATTCCTATTCTCTTGATGCTTTCAAACAACATTGACTATAAGACCATAAGACGCCGTACAAAACCCCTCTCAGAGTATGATAATTTGAGGGGCTATGGCCATATGAGGTTTTTTTTTAGTTGTATTTACTTCTCAGCTCCCATTTGCATTTTGTCAACCTTATTTTCTTTGTGAATCTTGTAATTACTTGAATAAAAAATACTCTAAGTACTAATGATCTGAACAGTAAAACAAAATCTGAAATCCAAAATTACTGTTTGGCAATACATTGGTAGAAGCTTATGAACCTTTCTCATAGGAGGTATATCAAATACCTGTTATTTACTGTATGAATTATAATGATTAACTGTATATAATGTATTTATTTCAGTCTATTGGTAATATCTATAAAGGTTTAGCTCAGTCTGGTTCATGGGGTTGTTTTGATGAATTTAATCGTATCTCAGTAGAAGTGTTATCTGTAGTAGCTGTCCAGGTGAAATGTATTCAAGATGCTATCAGAGATAAAAAAGACATCTTTAATTTCCTTGGTGAGGTGATCCGCATGGTTCCTAGCGTTGGTATTTTCATTACTATGAATCCAGGTTACGCTGGAAGAACTGAATTACCAGAAAATCTGAAAGCCTTATTTAGGTGAGTTTTATATTTATAGTTTGCCTTGATTAAAAGAATGAAAACATCATAAGGATAACAACTTAGGTTCACGAAGATCCTTTCTACCAGATGGTCTTTGGACAAACTTCTTCGTATGGATCTTTCTGTAGTTCTAGTTTAAACTTTAAAATATCTGACATTCTATTGCAAAACTAAAATGTCAAACTAACATTATCAACCCAGCCGTCTTACTGAACATGTTGCCCAGTTGACTGACTCTGGCACAGAGTGGTATAAGGTGCGTTAGAAGGGTGAACTGTTAAATATTATGGCTGTCATCACACAATCTTAAAAATAATTCTATTTCTGCATTTCAGGCCATGTGCTATGGTTGTACCAGATTTTGAATTGATTTGTGAAATTATGTTGGTAGCTGAAGGTTTCTTAGAAGCCAGACTTTTAGCTCGTAAATTTATTACATTATACAGTTTATGTAAAGAATTACTGTCCAAACAGGTGAGAATATCATCTTCAGATTATTGTCCAGAGTGAGAAGCAGTCATTATTTAATGAATGATAGCATTACTATTGCAAAAGTTGCTAATATTTAAGGGTCAAAGCTTTTGATGTTATAAAGCACTTAGTTCTGGTGGTATGACAAGAATCACACGTGTCTGACTAAAAATTGGAATGGTGCCCCTCAAGTTCAATGCTAGTGTCTTTGATACACATGAAAAGCCGATGTATAGACCTAGTTCTAGTTTGATAAAACAGAATAAAATATCTGACACAAGATCGTTAAATATTTTTTAGTAATAGTTATATGCATTTTATATAAATTTTAGGATCATTATGATTGGGGTTTACGTGCTATTAAATCAGTATTGGTGGTTGCTGGTTCGTTGAAGAGAAGTGACCCTGGTCGTCCTGAAGATCAGGTAACATATCGTTATATTTTAAACAACATTGTATATTCCAAACAATTAAGATGAGTTAGTTGAGGCAGTTATTGTCTACTGGCCTGAAATTGAACATTTGGATTACTCGTTATAATTTTTAGTTGTTGTCAGAATGCATCTTATCCTTGTAATTTAAACACCTATAAATATTTTCAGGTATTGATGAGAGCTTTGAGAGATTTCAATATTCCCAAAATTGTAGCAGATGATATGCCAGTCTTTATGGGATTGATTTCTGATCTCTTCCCTGCTCTGGATGTCCCACGTAAACGTAACTTGGACTTTGAAGGCCAAATCAAACAAGCCACATTGGATCAAAAACTACAACCAGAAGACAACTTTATCTTAAAGGTAAATTGGAACAAAAAATATCAAATTACTCTCCACTCAACAGTGTGAATTTGAAAAGGATATCTTATGCTTCTCTCCTGACTAAGTACACTCAAGACACACTGTATACTGCTAGCCACTTAGTCTCAAACGATCTTAATGCTAGGATATCCCAAGGTTTTAATGTCAAACACTGTTTCTAGGATATCCCAAAGTCTTAACGTCAAACACTGTTTCTAGGATATCCTAGCGCAAAGATCATTTCATTTAGCCTGTTCTTTAGGCCAGTAAAGTGCAGTTGGAATTCTAATATAATTTTTCTTGGCCATTACCCATTGTCCTTGTAATTTTAGTGCAAAATTGTCAGACATTTGATGCCATGGTTTTTCTTGGTCAATTTCAGGTCGTTCAGCTTCAGGAATTGTTTGAAGTACGACATTCAGTATTTTTATTGGGTAATACTGGAACTGGTAAGAGTGGGGTATGGAACACCCTGATTAAAACTTACCGCAATCAAGGCAAGAAACCTATAGCTATCGACCTTGACCCTAAAGCTGTCACCAATGATGAATTGTTTGGTGTGATTAATCCAGCAACACGAGAATGGAAGGATGGTAAGTTTGGGAATTGCTTCTTTTTTAGTTTCAAAATCTCACACCTTTTTTTTTTTTTACATTCTGTGGTTCAACCCAGAAGAGGTTGAGATAGAAGTGCCTTTTGGGCTTTTTTGCTCGAGGCCTTAAACAGGGCAGCTGATTCAGCCATATTTGCTGTGGAGTGTGCACTCTCAGACCCCAGTTGAAATGGTGAAAAAGGGTACTTCAGTGCACATTGGTATGTCATAAACCATTCATTAGGAGTAGGATACTACCCTCTGTGCTCATTACACATCTTCTTCAGACCAATACTGTGCAGAAAAACAGGATATAAAACTCCATTTTATTCTCTATTTCAGGTTTATTCTCAGTAGTAATGAGAGATTTAGCCAATATGACAGGTGACGCTCCGAAATGGATCGTATTGGATGGTGATATTGATCCTATGTGGATTGAATCATTGAATACTGTCATGGATGATAATAAAGTTCTCACGTTGGCCAGTAACGAACGTATTCCACTCACACCATGTATGAGATTGCTGTTTGAAATCAGCCATCTTAAAACTGCTACCCCAGCCACCGTGTCCCGAGCTGGTATTCTCTTTGTTAATCCTCAAGATTTAGGATGGAATCCGTAAGTTTTGGTTTTTAATTCTTATCAATTTAGATCAGGGAATTTAGCACTGGCCCTTATTTCTATTAACCCCATCAGATGCAAGTTCATAATATTTTTTATTCATGAAACTATATATTCAGTATGGATATGTTCAATATATAACAAGTAATTAGTGATAATCAATTTAGCTAAATTATTAACTCTCCACCTAACTATGAAATTGAAGGGTATCTAACTTTCAAATCTTTTCTTAGAAATTCAGACAAGCTCTGTGAAGCCCTGAGGAGAAATAGAATAACTTTTTTAAAACTCTGTTTTTTCTTATTATAGTTATGTACAAAGCTGGATAGATACCAGAGAAGTCCAGTCAGAAAGAGCCAATTTAACCATTCTCTTTGATAAATATGTACCGACTTGTTTGGAAGTGATGAGACATAGGTTTAAAAAGATTACACCTATAGCTGAAATCAGTCATATCCAGATGTTATGTTACTTACTAGAATGTTTACTGACACCAGAAAATACTCCACCAGATTGTGCTAAAGAACTATATGAGTTATATTTTGTATTTGCCTGCGTCTGGGCGTTTGGTGGTGTTATGTTCCAGGATCAGGTATGTGTCCTTTTTTCGAAAATCAATATCTGAAATCGGCATAACCATTAAAACCATCCAAAAGCATCTGATAAGCATTTGTCAATCATTTCTAAAATGGTCATCTTTCTTCTTTCAGTTGGCTGATCACAGAGTAGAATTTACAAAATGGTGGACGACAGATTTCAAAACCATAAAATTCCCCCATCAAGGAACTGTGTTTGATTATTATATTGATGCTGAAACTAAGAAATTTGAATTATGGACAAAACGAGTTCCTACATTCGAATTAGACCCTGATATTCCATTACAAGTAGGTCTAACTACCGTTACTTCTGTCTTTGAATATCATTCAATGTCTCTCTACCTACAATAGTGAACACTGCTTTATGCCTTGTCAGTGCCTTCTGTTGAATAGTAACTTGCCACCTTTCAACTGCCCTAATCTGAACACCAATTCACACAACTGACAGAAAAACATGATGAAGATCAATGTCAATGATTTGGAAAATACTTTTATAACCTAAAGAAAGGGATAAAAAACAATGAAGACCTGTATACACAGTGTTATAACAAGTTTGACATCAAGAAAGTAGTGTAGGGGAATTACTTATAGCATAATTTCTGTCTGGAATATATTTTCATGATATTCTTCTGATTTGTTCCAGGCTGCCATGGTACATACTGCTGAAACAATCCGAGTAAAATACTTCCTCGACATGTTGGTTGAGAAGAAGAGACCAGTCATGTTAGTAGGTAATGCCGGTACTGGTAAAACAGTACTAATGGGTGATAAACTGATTAACTTATCAGAGGAATACATGGTGACTAACGTACCCTTCAATTTCTACACTACCTCCGAGATGTTACAAAGAGTTCTGGAAAAACCATTAGAGAAGAAAGCTGGTAGAAATTATGGTCCACCTGGTACAAGAAGATTGATCTACTTTGTTGATGATATGAACATGCCAGAGGTAGGCTTAGCTTGAACTAGTCCAGTATGTACACATACTCAGTGAATTGCAGAATTTCTTAATACGTACCATCCTGACTAGAACAGTGGGGTCATTGGTAACTGAAATCCCAGCTGCTGCCACCACGCCAGTCAGTAATCAGGCACACTTAAAGGGAAAACTCTTCAATCAATGATGTTAGATATTGTATTGTAAAGATGGCGGTTTTACAGTATGACAATAATAATACGAATGAATTTACATGCACGTGCAGGGGGAGGTAATTCAACAAGTACAGTTCGTACACATAAGAATAGTTCAGGCTAGTCTAATACGTAACTACCATGAAATGGCGATGATGCTTTGATATTGAAAGAACGCACTCCATCTTTCTCAAGGATAATCACTATGGTATTCCAAGGATTCTTCTACCATCTGGTCTTGGAAGTGATCTTTTCCAAATTATCCACACCCATTTACAGCTGGATCCATTGGCATGAATAGTATTTGTTGCATATCTTTTCTTTATTAAAGTAGTAAAACTTCATCTGTCTGTTTCAGGTTGACAAATATTTCACAGTCCAACCTCATACATTGATTAGACAACATATTGACCATGGTCATTGGTATGATAGAACTAAATTATCATTGAAAGAAATCCACAACACTCAATATGTAGCCTGTATGAATCCTACTGCTGGTAGTTTTACTATAGATTCCCGTCTCCAGGTAAGTGATTACTTAGGAAGAAAGAAATTATTTGAGTTCAGAATTTGAATAAGGGTTGGTCAAAAATTTTCATAGAGTGTCTTTTGCTTGTTTGTAAGATATAAATATTCGTTTATATATTCCCTGTCAATATTCAAAAACTCATTAACAGAAAAATATTCATTGATCCAAATATCGTAGAACCCTGTTGGTTGCCAGCAATCAGGAAAACCTAATATTTGCATGCTTTTCATAGAGAAAGGAATATTTTTGTGACTGCCAGGCATTCTATGGAAGAATTCAAACCATTATATATGTTAACCATAATATAATATGGTAATTTATTTTTTCAGCGTCATTTCTGTGTGTTTGCTTTGAGTTTCCCCAATCAAGATGCCTTGAAGACAATTTACACTTCCATCTTATCTCAACATTTACAAATGAATAATTTCCCTCTTGCTGTACAGAAGTTTACTGAGCCTTTAGTTAACGGTGCTCTGGCTCTCCATTCTAAAGTCACCACTACCTTCCTACCTACTGCCGTTAAATTCCATTATATCTTCAATCTTAGAGACTTATCTAACATCTTCCAGGTAAGATAAGCTTACTCAAATTTTAATACTTATAGTGTTGGATAATACGAAACATAACATTTTGTAATAAATAGTTGTCCATATTCAGGCCTGGTATTCTCGAAATGATCTTAGCGCTAGCACATCCTAGAATCAATGTTAGAAGATAAGAACTTAGGACATCCTAGAATCAATGTTAGAAGATAAGAACTTAGGACATCCTAGAATCGATGTTAGAAGATAAGAACTTAGGACATCCTAGAATCAATGTTAGAAGATAAGAACTTAGGACATCCTAGAATCGATGTTAGAAGATAAGAACTTAGGACATCCTAGAATCAATGTTAGAAGATAAGAACTTAGGACATCCTAGAATCGATGTTAGAAGATAAGAACTTAGGACATCCTAGAATCAATGTTAGAAGATAAGAACTTAGGACATCCTAGAATCGATGTTAGAAGAGGACATCCTAGAGCTAAGATAGTTTCGAGAATACATAGCCTGGTCTACCTGTTACTATTAGCCCAAGTTGCAAAAAAGTAGGACCTTAAACTACATCCCATTTATGTACATCGAAGGCCCTAAGGTATCCAAACTGAAACCATGTTCGAAGAATAGATAATAATTGAAGCCACTTAGCTAAAATAAAATCAGAAGTGTTGCCTGTTGTGCAGATAGTGTTAAAATAATGTCACATGTGGACAAACTGTTCACTCATACGTTACTGCATGAAAAATAGACTAATATTGCTTAATAATCAATGATATCTTGAAGAAAAATGAAATGAAATGAATGGAGTTTTACGTCCTATTGAAGAAAAGAGAATGCGAAAATTATTGTATCTTGTTTTGTAGGGTATATTATTCTCTACAAGTGAATGTGCCAAGACGCCAGCTGACTTAATTAAACTGTGGCTCCATGAGTCAGCTCGTGTCTATCATGATAAACTTACTGATGAAAAGGATATTGAAATGTTTGATAAAGTACAGAAAGATGTTGTTAAAAAGACATTTGAGGTAAGACATAACTTTATAGAACTATATATAGTTAATTGTAGAACAGTTTTGTTAAGACAAGTCACTATAACATAGTAATAGCAAGTTCAGGTGCCCCTTGTTTTCTTGTAAAATCAAAACAAAAAAGTTCAATATCATGTAATATTCTGAAATATTTTATGAATTTGATAGAAATTTGCCTTTCTGAAGTTTGCATAAGAAACTAGACAGTACGCTCTTGAAAATTTTCAATTTATTTCTTTCATACATTTAAAAAATTTTATTTCAGGATATAGATGAAGCTGTAGTGTTCCAAACACCAAATCTGTTCTGCCATTTTGCCCAGGGTATTGGTGAACCTAAATATTCCAATGTTGCCAGCTGGCAGGAACTTAATAAAATATTAGTGGAAGCCTTAGATAATTATAATGAACTGAATGCCGCTATGAACTTAGTGTTGTTTGAAGATGCCATGTCACATATTTGTCGTATTAATCGTATCTTAGAATCACCTCGTGGAAATGCCTTGTTAATTGGTGTGGGAGGAAGTGGTAAACAAAGTTTATCACGGTTAGCTGCGTTTATTAGTAGTTTAGACGTCTTCCAGATTACCTTACGTAAAGGCTACAGTATCGTGGATCTGAAGACCGATATCGCAGCTCTGTATAAAAAGACTGGAATCAAGGGTGTAGGCACCATGTTTTTAATGACAGACGCTCAAGTACCAGATGAACGGTTCCTGGTATTGATCAATGATTTACTAGCATCAGGTGAAATTCCTGATTTATTTGCCGATGATGAAATTGAAGAGGTTATCAGTGGAGTAAGAAATGAAGTCAAAGGTCAAGGGTTAGAAGACACAAGAGAGAATTGTTGGAGATATTTTATTGAGAAAGTTAGAAAGACATTGAAGGTGAGATTATGGTTGAAATACATAATGATGTGCAGCTTGTGAAAAAGTTCATAATCTTGTTCTTTATGCAAGAGCCAGTTTTTCAAAACTTGAGATGAGTGTAGTGCTCAAGTTATCTGGGCAAAAAATAGAACCTACCTCTGCCTTCAATTGATGCTATCTTGGATTCACATAGATAATAAAACCAGATTTCAGTCCTGCCATGCTTCATTTATCATTCAGAGGCGATCTCATGTATTGGCACATGACAACAAGGGCAAGTAACTCCATAAGACTTAAATGGCATTATATTTGATTTCAGGTGGTATTGTGTTTCTCACCAGTTGGTGCAACTCTACGTGTCAGAAGTCGTAAATTCCCTGCTATTACCAACTGTTCTGCTATTGATTGGTTTCATGAATGGCCTGAAGAGGCTTTGACCTCTGTCAGTGCTAGATTCTTGGATGATATAGAACTGTTACCAGTAAGTATTATTTAAGTATTATACTACTTTTCATTATGAAATACTTCCTCATAAAGTTCATTAGCTGCTAGTTTTGTCATTTGGAATGCTAGTCCTTTGTTATCTTTTCTTATTTATGATGATAAACGGCACAATATGTTAACCACCAGTGGCTCTCTAACCTGCTGGTCTTGGTTCTGTCTATCACATCTTCTAACCTGCTGGTCTTGGTTCAGTCTATCACATCTCCTAACCTGCTGGTCTTGGTTCAGTCTATCACATCTTCTAACCTGCTGGTCTTGGTTCAGTCTATCACATCTATCGAATACCTTTAGATAGTACAAGAATCTCTTTCAATAATGCGTGTCTGAAGTTTGACACAGAAAAGTAAACAGCAAATTTGATATAACCATAAGTTTTAAATTCATTCACTTTTACTTTTTCAGAGTGATATGAAAGTATCCATAGCCAAATTCATGGCTTACGTCCAAAAATCTGTAAACGAAATCAGTCACTTGTATTTAACCAATGAAAGACGTTACAATTACACCACACCTAAAAGTTTCTTGGAGTTAATCAACTTGTACCATAATTTACTGGGTATCAAAAACAAGGAATTACAGGCTAAGATTGTCCGTTTGGAAAATGGTTTAGAAAAACTCCGAAGTACCGCCTCTCAGGTGGATGATTTAAAGTCAAAACTGGCCTCTCAAGAAGTAGAATTAGCCCAGAAGAATGAAGATGCTAATAAATTGATTCAAGTGGTCGGAGCTGAAACTGAGAAAGTCGGTAAAGAGAAAGCTATTGCTGATGAAGAAGAACTGAAAGTATCAAAAATTACGGTAGAAGTCGAGAAAAAAGCTGCTGATTGTGAACGAGATTTAGCCAAAGCTGAACCTGCTCTGCTTGCTGCTAAAGAGGCTTTGAATACATTAAATAAGGTATTTTTTTTTACCAAATTTGACACTCGACAGTTGGAAATCGAAAAAGAGCAGGCTAATGCCGCTGTCCTGGCAAAATTTCCCTCATTGCACCCTGCATGGCGTTGCCCATCTTCATTAGCCCACATGGTGCAGAAAAGTAGGACGTAAAACATTCATTTCATTTCATTTTTTACCAAATTTGAGCTTGAACAATTTGTGTTACAGATTCTGAAAAATGGCCTGTTAGATGTTCTAAGTATTGTTTTTTCTATAAATAATTAATAGTTTATCTGAAATGAAACTTCAAAAGCATGTGTTTGGCCCTTTTTGGAAAATCTACCCAGTTGATATTGTTGATTTAGAATTTTGTCATAATAACTTCACTTCTAAAAGTCCTTTTATCAATGATCATGTTTTTCATCTGTGGGTGTGTAAATTTGGCATCCCATGTAGTCCATGAATCTCATATTTTCTATTTCCTTTCTATTTCAGAATAATTTGACTGAGTTAAAATCTTTTGGCTCACCTCCAACTGCTGTTACCAATGTTACTGCTGCCGTCATGTGTTTACTAGCACCAGGTGGTAAAGTACCCAAAGACAAGAGTTGGAAGTCTGCAAAGAGCTCAATCATGAATAAGGTGGATGCCTTTTTAGATAACCTAATTAACTACGATAAGGATAATATCCCCGAAAGTTGTCTGAAAGCTGTCCAACCTTTCTTAAACGATCCTGAATTTGAACCAGAATTTATTAAATCCAAATCTCTAGCTGCTGGTGGTCTGTGTGCCTGGGTTGTAAATATTGTCATGTATTATAACGTCTACTGTACTGTGGAACCAAAGAGAATGGCCTTGAAACAAGCCAACGATGAGTTATCTGCTGCTCGAGAAAAGTTACGTGTCATCAAAGCTAAAGTAGCTGATTTGGAAGCCACTCTTGCTACGTGTCAAGCTGAATTCGAAAGAGCTACCTCTGAGAAATTACGCTGTCAACAAGAAGCTGAATCGACTGCTAAAACTATCGAGTTAGCTAATCGTCTCGTGGGTGGTCTGGCATCAGAAAATGTGAGATGGGCTGAAGCTATTAATGGATTTAGAGAACAGGAGAAGAGTTTGCCTGGTGATGTTCTCATTACAACAGCTTTCATCTCATACGTTGGTTGCTTTACTAAGTCCTACCGTTTAGACTTGATGAATGCGTATTGGTTACCGTATTTGAAAGAGAAGGCTCAAGATATCATCGTGTCTGAAAATCTGGATCCATTAGCGTTGTTGATTGATGATGCTGATATTGCTACCTGGAATAACGAAGGTTTACCGGGAGACAGAATGTCCACAGAAAACGCTACTGTACTAACAAGTTGTCAAAGATGGCCACTGATGATTGATCCACAGTTACAAGGTATTAAATGGATCAAGAAGAGATATGGTGCAGATCTGAAAGTAATCCGACTTGGAGCTAAAGGTTATTTGGAAGCTATTGAACGAGCTGTTACTAATGGTGATGTAGTCTTGATTGAAAATATTGGAGAATCAATCGACCCTGTATTGGATCCATTGTTGGGTAGAAACACCATTAAGAAGGGACGTGCTATCAAGATGGGAGACAAAGAAGTTGAATATCATAAAGACTTTAAATTGATTCTCCAAACCAAATTAGCCAATCCTCATTATAAACCAGAAATGCAGGCTCAGTCCACGTTGATCAATTTCACCGTCACTCGAGATGGTCTTGAAGAACAGCTGTTAGGAGCTGTAGTCAGCAAAGAAAGACCAGATTTAGAAAAACTGAAATTGGATTTGACTCACCAACAGAATGAATTCAAGATCACCTTGAAAGGATTAGAAGACAACTTGTTAGCTCGATTGTCTGCTGCCGAGGGCAATTTCTTAGGCGATTACGCACTCGTAGAGAATCTAGAAACAACCAAGAGAACTGCAGCAGAAATTGAAGTCAAGGCTGCCGAGGCGAAGAAGACTGAAGTAGAAATTAATAAAGCTCGTGAAGATTACAGACCAGCTGCCTCCAGAGCTTCTCTACTCTACTTCATCATGAATGATCTTCTCAAGATCAATCTTATGTACCAATTTTCATTGAAGGTATGTACAGGACATTTTCAGAATATTCTTTGAGAAAAACTGATAGATTTGCCTTTTTTTAACCCAGAGCTATCAGTTATAATTCAGTTACTTGTGAATTTAATGTATTCTTAAAATTCTCTGAGTGGAAAAAATACATCCGTCAGCTGATAAATTAAATAAAAAATAGACAATTCCTTTTAGTAGCCAGATATGTTGGTTCTCTGTTTATACATCAGAAAATTGACTAAATGATCAAGTTTTCCTGTGAATTATTTGAATTACATGTTTCCTTCCTTCTATTTCAGGCTTTTAGCGTAGTATTCGACAAGGCAATCGATAAAGCCGAACCAGCTGAAGATGTAAAACAGCGAGTTCTAAACCTGATCGATTGTATCACCTACTCAGTATCAGTGTATACCACTAGAGGTCTGTTTGAGAAGGATAAACTTATCTTTTCTACGCAGATGGCCTTCCAGATTCTTCTCTTGAATAATGAGATTAATCCTGTGGAACTGGATTTCTTACTCCGATTCCCTGCCGTACAGAATCTTACCACACCTGTAGATTTCCTCAATAATAACTCTTGGGGTGGAATTAAGGTAAGAATACTTAAACTGTTTGGGACTGTTTTCTAGGATAGGCCTTAATTTTAAGGTTAATACACATTAAAGTCTTTAGTCAGGCTCTCAACAACTAGGGGAAATTACTCTTATTACAGACTTATCTTAAGACCACAATATTAGTCTACACTATTTCTTTTGAAAAAAGAGTTATATAGGCTCCTCTTATAATAGATTATGCAGGAAACATTTAAGCGTATGCTCGCATTTGATCCAGTTGATTATATTGCATTATTATTGTAATTTTCAGGCTTTAGCTGCCATGGAAGAATTCCGAAACCTAGATAGAGATATAGAAGGTTCAGCTAAACGATGGAAGAAGTTTGTTGAGAGTGAATGTCCAGAAAAAGAAAAATTCCCTCAAGAATGGAAGAATAAAACATCCCTACAGAAACTATGTATGATGAGAGCTCTACGTCCTGACAGAATGACTTATGCTATTAGGTAATATTTGAATTGTATTACAGTGATAGAGAGGATAATTCCCTATATGTACTTTGGTTGATAAAACTCTCAAATTCATTGGGATATAAAGATGCTCATTGACCAGGTGGTAAGCTACTGCATTTGAATGTGTTACACACAGGCTTTGACTGCCTTCACTTGCCAAATCAAGTGCAAAAAAAAAAGTGACTCAGTATTGGATATTTAAACATTAATTATGGCTCATTTTAAGAAGCACAAGATTCCAATGAGTTAAGTAGATTCCAATGAGTGATATAGTGTTTAATATTTGGTATATTTTTTGTAGGAATTTCATTGAAGAAAGGATGGGAACTAAGTATGTTGAAGGTAGAGCTGTAGAGTTTATGAGATCCTATGAAGAGTCCGGACCAGCCACACCAATATTCTTTATCTTATCACCTGGTGTGGATCCACTGAAGGATGTAGAAGCTGCTGGTAAAAAACTAGGATTTACTGAAGACAATAAGAACTTCCACAATATATCTCTTGGACAAGGTCAAGAAGTTGTGGCTGAACAAGCTATGGATATTGCTGCTAAAGATGGACATTGGGTCATTCTACAGGTAAAGAACTTATTTAGTTTTAAATCCAATAAATACTTTTGTAGGTGTATTAAGCAAGGTTAGCCATGGTCACCCTTTCATATCCATGTGGCTACTTTTTTTCGATGTTGGGAATTAGTACATTTTACCTGACCTTATGGAAAAACTTCATGCCACTGTGACTGGTCTCAGAGAGTTTTGATTTTGGCAACTTTTACCAGAGCAAGTATCCCTTGGGCATCAATAACTGGGGCAACCATTAGCAACTCTTTAAATCATTTTCCAGTTGGCTCCAGATTAATTTTCAATATTTTTCTCTCATTATAGAATATCCATCTTGTAAGTAAATGGTTATCAGCATTAGAGAAGAAATTAGAAGAATACAGTGAAGTTGCCCATGAAGATTATCGTATATTTATATCTGCTGAACCAGCGTCCAGTAACGAATACCACATCATCCCTCAAGGTATCCTCGAGCCAGCTGTCAAGATCACCAACGAGCCCCCAACTGGCATGTTCGCCAATTTACATAAAGCCCTTGATAACTTCACCCAGGATACACTTGAGATGTGTGCACGAGAAACAGAATTTAAAAGTATTCTCTTTGCACTCTGCTATTTCCATGCTGTGGTATGCGAAAGAAGAAAGTTCGGTCCTCAAGGATGGAACAGAGTCTACCCATACAACACTGGAGATTTGACTATCAGTGTCAACGTATTGTACAACTATCTTGAAGCCAATGCTAAAGTACCATGGGAAGATCTACGATATCTGTTTGGAGAGATTATGTATGGTGGACATATTACAGATGATTGGGATAGACGATTATGTAAAACATATCTTGAAGTTTACATGCACGCTGGAATGGTGAGTCTAAAAATATTTTGGCTTTTAGATCAACTGGCATTACCTAGTTGGTTTATTTTAAGTTGGTTGTCCACAGTCTTTCCTCTAGTTGACAAAGCTTAACTATTTATTACTGTATGTCAGGGCCCTATCTCTGCTAAATAGTAACTGTCAATCAACCTTTACCAAGCATATTTTCACATAATGAACAGATACAAGCTTTCTTCCTATCTGTTGCATGCCTTTAATCTTTAAAGTTTTGAATTCCCAATAAAATGAATTTTGTTATTTTCAGTTGGATGGTGAGCTATATTTAGCACCCGGATTCCCCATTCCACCCAATACAGATTATAAAGGTTACCATGCCTATATAGATGAAGTTCTACCACCAGAGAGTCCCTATCTATATGGTCTACATCCTAATGCTGAGATTGAATTCTTAACAACAACCTCTGATAACTTGTTCCGAACTGTGTTTGAAATGCAGCCACGTGATGCTGGAGCTTCAGGAGGTGCTGGTGTTAGTCGAGAAGAGAAGGTAAGTTAAATCTCAAGACATCAAAGATCAAATATGGTTTCTGGGTGGATGTTTGCCCCAGACAGTTATGATATTAATCTACAAAAGTAGTTGCCTCCATTATGCTACAGCCTTACAGATCAAAAATATTTTACGTGCAATTGTCAAAATTCGAAAGTGGCATTCTTCAAGCTATTTACTTTAAGCTTTTGGGTTGAAATCCATTATTATTTATTCATGTAATATAGTTGTATATATATTATGTTGTCATATGTAATATGTGCTGGTGGCCTGCTACTGAGATTTGTAAATAAAGAAAAAAGGAAAAAAAAAGAAGTCCATTGGAAAGCTCAAATAAAGCTTCATTATGACAGTCAAAATGTTGTTATATAGTAAAAGCTTAAATATATCAATGTTTATTATAAATGTCTACCCTTTTAACTGACTAATGAAATATTTTGTTATTGTTTAGACTAAAGGTATCTTAGATGAGATCGTAGAGAAAGTTACCAGAAGAATTCAATATGCTAGAGATTATGGGTAAAGTACCCTTAGAAGAAAGAACACCCTATATCGTTGTTGCCTTCCAAGAATGTGAACGAATGAACATGCTAACATCTGAGATTAGAAGATCTCTGAAAGAATTAGATCTTGGTTTGAAGGTAAGATTTCATTCTTGTTATTTGACTATTGGATTGGTGGTAGACATAAGATTCCCCTCAGATCTTTTAATGGGAGTTTGAGGCTCATGTAGATTAATTGTCTCATCATATGAGAATCAAAGAGAATGCTCTGTGCACTACAAACTGTCCAGTTGATAGATTAGGATCCCTTTACTGGTCAAATTTTTCATTCAGATGAATAAACCATACTACATCAATGCATAGAAAGACTGGCTCAAATTATAGTGTAATATTTCTGAAACTAAATATATCTTTATTTATTGTAGGGTGAGCTTACTATTACAGCTGATATGGAAGATCTGAGCAATTCCTTGTTCTTAGATACCATACCAGAAACATGGCAGAAGAGAGCTTATCCTTCCTTATATGGTCTTGGAGCTTGGTATGCCGATTTACTCCAGAGAGTGAAAGAACTTGAAACCTGGACCTCTGATTTCCAACTTCCCGCAGCCGTCTGGTTGGGAGGTTTCTTTAATCCCCAGTCCTTCCTGACAGCTATCATGCAGCAGATGGCTCGTAAGAACGAATGGCCGCTCGACAGAATGTGTCTTCAGTGTGACGTCACTAAGAAAACACGAGAAGACATGGCCGGACCTCCAAGAGAGGGCGCTTACGTGCACGGTCTGTACATGGAAGGTGCTAGGTGGGACACACAGACTGGTATGATCAATGAAGCTAGATTGAAAGAACTAGCTCCACCCATGCCAGTTATGTTTATCAAGGCTATCCCAGTTGATCGACAAGATACGAGAAATGTGTACGAATGTCCTGTATATAAGACGAAGAGTCGAGGCCCAACTTATGTCTGGACCTTTAATCTTAAAACTAAGGAAAAGGCCAGCAGATGGGTTCTTGGTGGTGTTGCTCTTTTATTACAAGTATAATCATCCCTATATTACCAATATCAAAATTGTCTATTCAGAAGTTTTATATTTTGTCAAAGATGTTGATTATACTATGATTTAGAAAGTGCTAAGTATAGCATGAATTATTAAGATTACTGTGATTTGGAATGCAGAAAATACAACTTACAATATTATATTAATTCAGAACTTATCAAGAAAAGCATGACATTTTACTATGCTAAGAAAAGCATCAATATGATTGTGCTAAGAAAAGTATTAAAATATAACTGAATTTTAGAAGACACTACAGCTTAAAATATCATTAAATTGTAGTACTGTAATTCAAACTGATACGTTATGAAATATTACTCATTTTAAACCATGCTAAGAACAGCATAATTTTACCTCTAATACTTATTGAAAATTCTTCCTTTGAGTTATATTTTGAAGCATTGAATAGAATTCTTCCAAAAATTAATCCAATATTTTTAAGCCACATGCAGCATTGTGATATTCAGCATTCCCTCCCTTATTTATTTTCTTGTTGATTTTATTTGTTCAATATTTTTATAGACTTCATATTTATTCAACCACTATTGTATTATATATCCAGGCTTATTGCTGAAATAAATTATTATGTATGTTCAACACTTGGTTTCTTATTGTTGAGCTTAAAAACGATGTGATCTTCCACCACACAATATTGACTCTGACCGCCATGTTTTCAACAGTATGAGTGCAAATTGTCTACCATGAAAGTTCCGATAGCACTCTGCTTATGGAAACTGATGAAAAATGCTGAATGAATTGTTTCACTATAATATGGGGGTCCACAGGGCAATGTTTCACACACAGCCTGTATCCCCCAATTGGACAATTTTTCACGAAACAAAGAACAGGCAGTCAGGACAATGAACTACCAGAAGAAAGAATAAATAAATGGAGATAAGGCATGAGCATTCTGACCAAAATTTCTAGAACATTGTTGGCAAATTGAGCTTAGCTTAAATGGTATATTCATATAAGAAATAAGCAGCAGTCCCGTAAGCAAGTTTTTTCGGGCAAAAATCTCATAAGATGACGGATTTGGGCAATCTAAGATATCTCGCCTCCCTTTGACGTAAACTTTGATATAAGTCAAATATATAAAACTCAAGTTGTTTAAAACTTTTACACTTTATTAGGTTCAACAGTGACAGAAGACTATTTGGGTCCAAGATGGACAACTTTTACTGTCCAGGGGCCTTATTTTCGAAAACTTAACTTAGATAACATCCAGATTTGAAGAAATACAGTAATCTGATTGGCTAACAAAACTGAATTTTAAATCATTTTAGTGACCAATCAGATGACTTGAACACAAAAATCATTTTAATTTAAGTTTTCAAGAATAAAGCTCCAGAACTTCCAGTGGTGCAGACTATTTACTAGGTGAAAGGATTTGGCAAAAATATCATAAACTCAGTTTAAATCCTTGTATATCACAGACAGGGTTTCTAATAATACATTTCACAATTACATGTATCTCAAAACTAAACACATGGTCAAGCAAGGATATTTTAGCACATCAGAATTTCCTTAACCAGTTCACAGCCAGTTCACTTTATTTTTAGTTTACGATTTCTATGATTAAAAGTTAAAAGGTATTATAAAGAGGTTTTCCAAAACTTTTATGTGTATTGGGGACAATGGTAGCAACAATTTGCTCCATTCCAATTTTCAATCAGTCGTGTGTGGTTCCTGCAATTCCACTAAAACTAAGTGTTTGATGACATAACTTTTCAACTAAGGTGATGCCATCAAACACCTCTTTTTGAGAAATTGCAGAAACCAGACATCTGACTGAAAATTGGAACAGTGCAACTTGATGCTATCAGTGTCCCTGAAGCACATAAAAGAATAAGAAAGCCTCTTTATAATCCCTAAACCAGTGGACTAATGGTGGTTATGTTTTGATTGAAAGCTGAATGAGCACAAATATCTATGCTTGGACATACCAGTATTTGACAATTATCTCAAAACAATATTAACCCATGCAGTCCACTTAGTCCAGTGTCAGTAGTGCAGAACTGAATAAATCTGGCTTGAATATCTCAAATCAGTATTACGTACTCAAAAATAAGTGGCCTGATAATATTAATGCTTTGAAGATTTCATGCAATAACAAGGGTAGCATTAGCCAATCAACCAACTTAACTCAAGACAGTCATTTTCAGGGAGAATTGGCCAATAATTCCAAAAAAATGAAAAAGCATTGAGCAAAAAAAAAATATTGGGATGATTTCACTGTTTCCAGACACAGGGATGATTTAAACAATTGCACAGATATACTGGAGTCTCTGCTGCTGTCATCCAATAATAGGAGAGATTGGTCATGATGTCATAGAGGTGGTACCACATGATGCACAATCTTTAACAGTTGTAAGAGTGGTTTATCCTACCAATTGTCCTTAAGTCATGCATGTGTTCTATTTTCAGCATATCACAGCTTATTCGCTTCTCCTATTCTATTGGCTGGATACCCATATTGTGACAAGCTGTACCACAATATATCAGTGATACATCCTGCCAGCACGATTGGACCCAGCAAATACCAGTACCTTGCTTGCAACACGGTCAGACCCACAAGATACAATCTTTGTGATATTTGCAAAACTAGTTCTCCTGATAAAGACTGTGTATCAAAAACAGATGAGCTCTTATCAACTGGGTAGATGTGCAGATTCAAAACCCTATTTGTCCTGATGGGGGCTGTGTATTGAAAACGTGCCATCAGAACAAGATGAGCTCCTAAGAACTGGGTAGATGTGCTGATTCAAAACCTATTTGTCCTGATAAGGATTTCGTACTGAAAACTTGTGCTAGAAGCAGGAGATGTTCTCTTATCTACTGTTCACTTTGCTACTTTTTCAGCACTCTTGTTTCTTGTTAGGACTCGTAAACACCTTATATCAACTATACCAAACATGCATTTCATCAGAGGTCAGACCTACAATAAGCAGTTATACATCTCAGCGAGTATACTAGTTGACAAGTAGGAGGGTAATAAATAATTATATAAATACTGGTAAGTCGGACAAACATCATTATGCACATCCAGTAGGAAAATATTTGCAAAATAGATAATAATAGTGGATTTAAATTTCAAAGTAAGAAAAAAAGCAATGCCAGTGAAGGTGCTAGCTCTCAATCCTACTGTAATCAAAGTTTGTCTGTAAACATCCTTGCATGTGCATAATCTATTTGACCTACTTTAACCTGTGATACTATAAATGTCTTATTATAAATATTGTATATTGAGATCACAGTATCCAAATATAATCTCATCTCATAGCATCAAAATACCACATAAATATCTTGAGATCTTTTCAGATTATCACAAATACCCATTGATATGAGATTATCAATTTAACAGCTCAACATTCCATGTTCAAATTTGCCCCAAGTTAACAATATATATAATCATATAGATGACTCAAAAAAGCTTTAAATCAGACTGGCAAGCAATGTGGTAGTCATTCAGTGGGGACATTTAAACCAAAATTACTAAAGTAACTTGTTCAATTCAGATATCATATCATATATTAAGAATTTGACACAAAATGAAATGTTTTGATGCTATGAGAATAGATATGTTCAATGGGAAGACACTTTTTATTCAAGTAATGTCAATATCACATGCCAGTCTGGGCCGTTGCTCAAAATTTTCAAGGTTAGACATTTTTTCTCAAAAATGGAAGTCTTACTGCTGATTTTCCTCCTGTGAAAAAATTCACGAGGAAAAGAATTAGCACCAAAATTTAAAAGCACAGTCAGTCATTTGAGAGCTTCAAACAAACATGACTGGCAAAAACAACCAAATCATCAGCCCTGACATGCATCAGGCCATGTATTCTCCAAACAATCTTAGTGTTAGAATGTCCTAGAATCAATGCTAGACGATAAGAACCTAGGACATCCTAGCTCTAAGATCGTTTCGTGAATACGCTGCCTGTTGACTAGGAAACAATGGATCTTGTTATTGTCATGTTGTAATATCATTTAAGTTCAATTATTCTGCTCTCATAGAGATTCACATTCAATATTCAATACTTAATCACATCACAAAACAAATACGACAAAAACAATATCAAAACAAAAACAACAGGTGCAATTTAAAAATAACCAGAAATTTTACATGAACATCAACTTATTTTCATCATCTAATTTAAAATGGAGGTCGTTAAACTCCATTCATTTATTCAATTGAAATGAACATCAGCAGGATTCTAATTTCAAATCGTAACTTGAAATAATCAAGGAAAAAACAACAATTAAATCACAAAGACGTAAGGTCCAAAGTCCTGTTCTCTCAACTATTCTTAGAATTCAAATTAATCAAGGTGAAAGTGAAAGTAAAATTTTTAATGAAAGGGGTCTAGATTCTGAAAAGTCTACAGGACTACAAAAAATTTCTCGTCCATATTTTCTGTGTATGTTTTGATGTCCTATACATCCTTTCTTTCAATTGCCTACTGCATCAATAATTTCCAGTTGACAATCCAAACCATTTCTAGTTTTAGGCTTGGGAACTCTGATTGGTTGATCAGTTGAAAGTAACAATATTAACCAATCGGATTTGGGTAATAAGATCATGTGATTGCAATGTAATTACCACTAATTATACAAAAAAAAAAAAAAAAATATGACTTAAACAAAAGAGGAACTGAATCTTTATATTTCACTTAAACGCATTTTAAGTCCATTCATTCTCAAGTTCAGAAAAATAAACTTGCGTTGGAATGAAAAGGGGTTAAAAATGCAATAAAACTAAAATATAAAGTAAATCTAACCTAATAAAAATGTTTATATTGTTCAAAATAAATAAATAATAGTGCATCAAAATAATTTAAAACATGTCAAGACGTTTTTTCTTGGAGGTATTGTGGGTAAAATTTCATTTTCAGTGTCTGTAATTCTCTGACAACTCCAACAGGTGAAAATTGAAGTACTTATTTCAAAACAATTTCATTTCGATTGTCTGAGTTTATGAGAAATAAATTGGACATTCTACTATGTCTCTGTATAATAAATTCAACAAAGCCATATGGTTGGCACTGTCGGAGTTATCAGAAGATTACTTACACCACTTTATTTTCATTGCTCAACATCATTGCTGTACGACATTTCTCAATAATAATTGCCTCTGTGTAAACTAATATCATGATGGTACATATTCATATATTTCTATCATTCCCTTTATCACATCCTTTTTAACTCAATTTCATTTCATTATACTCTAAATCTCAAAAGCAATCGCTAAGGTCAATATCAATCAACCATAAACTTTCTATTGAACTCTTCTACACATGCATACTTTCCGTCAATGTGATGCTGTATATATATGATTGGAAGAGCTCATTTGTAAAATTAGGGGTGTTTTTGTTGCTGTCAAATCAGACTCTTCAAGATTCTTGAATTGTTCTCACACTGTTTATACTGCAGTGATATTATTGACCAATCAAATTTCTTAAAATCAATTTCATCCATAAATCCTAGGATTTTACTTATGTAAATGACATACATTTCAACTTGTCCATCCATCCTTTCAATCATCCATGCTGTACCATTATATAAATTAGATGACTAGAATTGATAATGACAGCATGCCCTATCTAGGTTTAAGATCTTTAGTCTTAAGATCCAAGTCATATCAAAGTATATAATATATTAATCTGAAACTTGCTGACACTCTACCAGTCTTTAAAACAGAATTGAAAGTAATGCCGTATCACTCTTTGTTGTTGTATAATTAAAAAAGGAAGAAAACACCTTAGTAAAGCCCATAAAACTGTTGAAAGCCAACATAGAGACAAACAAGTTCTTAGCTGAATGTGGATTTTGATGTAGTTATTTTAATCATCTATCAACTTAAGTGATCGTGAAAACTAAGCCTTGTTTCATGACGATTTACAGGGGTTCATATTTATTTTCTTATCACCTTTTCTACCTTTTAAATGGCAGAATCTGATAGATGGAAACATTTACAAATATATCTTCACCATTTTAATCCCTTAATACAATTTGATTATCAGATAAATGCAAAATCCCATAAAAGAGGGACGAATCTATTTTTTCTTTTTCCAAGGATATTTCCTTAGTATCAATGTCAAATGATCTCCGGTCAATCAAAGGCAGCAAGTTTCAGAATAATCACCACCAGGCATTAATCAAAAATATTACAAATGGGTATGACTAAGACTTTGCAGTCAAAGTGCTGAATTATTTTTTCTACTTTCAGTTTTCTAATACATGTACACTACTTCTTCTTGTGACTTTTGATATCTCCCAAATATGATATGTATTATTCTATCTAAAACCACCCAATAAACGGTATAATATCACAAACTAAAATCCCTCTAGTCCATTATCCTAAAACATATGTATCAATAGGCTTACAAATACCAATTGGGTTGACAGGGGCAGGGTTTGATTACTCTTCTATTCCTTATACCGGTAGCTTATCATCTTCTTAGTCTGAAGAAATACAAAAATATTTCATATTTAAACTATTTGGTTTTAAGATTGAAGTAACAGGTGAATACAAGACTCCTGAATAGTTTTTTAAATCAATACTTGTTTCCTACTACAAAATTTTTTATCATTAATTCTTCAAGTTCACTTCAAAAGAAGCAAAATTTGATATCTGACATATGTGCGAAAATAGTAAATTTTAGACCCTACTCACCTGGAAGGTCCGGGACTAGCTCCACTGTTATTAGTACCAATACTTAAAGAAGAAAATCCGCTTTGACATGATTGTAAACTAGTCATAGAGCCTCTAAAATAAACAAAAATATCACAAATGATCTATTTATCAATAAAATAATTAATAAAATCTAAGTTGAAGAGTTGTGTCAGAATTTCTTTAATATGATCAAACCTGGCTGTAACCTCTTTCAAGGCTTACTGCCATTTACTGGCCACATAATAAGGCAATATGTACCCAAAGCCAGTTACCAAGTGACAATGTTAATGTCATACTCTTTAACCCTTTCAACCCTAGCGGCAGGCTTACCAGCCACACAATTACGCAATATATACCCAAACAAATCGGCTGGACCAATGGACATCACACAATGTCAAATGCTTAAACTTATATTACTGGGAGTTCAGGGTATATGACGTTTTATTATATTCACATTCAGGGTTCAAAGTGTTAAGACACAGATCATTCAAACCTGGGCTGTGGTATTCAGTAACTTCTTTTAATCCATTCAACCCTAGGTGACCGTCACGCAATGTTAACATCATATGCTTTAACTAGTATTACTTGAACATAATATGACGTTTTATTCCATTTTGACTGTAGTTCATATGGAGTTACTGTGCAACCATTTGTTTTTGATTGATTAAAATTATGTCTCTTATGAAGCCTTGTAACCTTTTTGTACTTTAACAGTCACTTACTTGAAAGCCTCTGATTGTAGTAGTTCAGTATAATACATCACTTTAGATTTATGTGATGTCAGAGGGAAGTCAAATGATGCTCTAGCTGAATCAAAATATTTCCACTGTAATATATAACTACCAGATTGTGATGTAACATGGGAACCCTGGAAAATATAAACACAAGGACTAACTATAACAGAACATAGAAACATGAACACAAATACTAACACAACCATACTATCATTATCAAACTAAATAGAGCATGGAAATATAAACACATGGATTTTTTTTAGTAAAAAAATATTTAATTCACAAATATATTCAAAGAATTACATTATGAAAAGGATTGGGGAATAGAGGAACAGGCTTCAACTATATTACCCCTCTCCTTAACGAAAGGATGCTATCATTGTGAAAAATAAACCAAAGCATGGGAAAATGAACGCAAGGATGCTATCATTTGTTTCTATCACACAGCTATGCAAGTTTGTTGTTTAGTTCATTTAGCATAGATCATGAAGGGTTAATATGAAGAGACTTACTAACCACAGCTGACGCTAAAAATGTGTAAATTTATGTATTAATTAATCAAGTTAGTGACATATTGCCAGATCCTGTTGGCTTCAATAATTAATATCACTATATAGCAATTTGAATAGAAATTAAAAAATAAAATAGTCATATGATAGGTGTTCTGGTTGAGTAATTTATTCAGCATTCCATTCATAAATAAAAAAACAAATAGGCTAGTGTCACTGTCCTCTTAAATCATCCTCATTGCACACTGTTTGGCATTGCTTCTTAGCGGAAAAGTAGTAAGTAATATTCCATTTAATTTCATTTCATTTGTAATTCTAAGATGTAAAAGTTTTTCACTAACCTGTACGCTGTCACCATCTCGACATATATGGGGTGGTTCCACAATGCTTAGATCCACGCCCACCACCATAGACTTAGTGATGTATTGAGTAGACCTGATTCCGCCCACTGCACCACTGACATGATGTTGATGTGCCGAATCTGTTGATTGACTCTGTTTACACCGGATTACAGTAAATGTTATATCACCTTTGAGGATATCGAAATCCCACGTTATCACAGAACCTCTCTGAGGCACTTGTATCAATACCTGTGGATACAAACATTTTTTTAGAAGAAGAGCGGATATCCCTATAATGAGTTTGCAGGCCCAGTTGCAGATAGGAATTAGGTGGTCAGTATGTCTGTCTATTCTTGCAAAACTAGTCACAGTAATGCAGCAACAGTTTTTGGACTTGAAATTAGCAGAAAACTGATGGGTTTAAGAACAACCTCAGAGAAAAATAGAAAAACCTGATCTTTGCTGTAACTATGGCATCTTAATCTTTCTCTGTGATTTGAAATACAATTTTTTCCAGATGGAAACTATACACAGTGATTTCAGTGTAAATCTTATTTTGGTGCATTGCCATCAAACTGAAACTGTGTGCAGTAAATTCTTGTTGTTGAATAGGGCCTCAATGTCAAAGCCTCAGAGTCAAAGCTATCAGTTAAACATACTTTGAGCAGGCCAACAACAGGCTATAACAACATGAAAACACTAACCTCATGAGGAAAATCTTTAAGCACATAAGCAGTAAGATATAAACTATCAACACTTAAAGGAGGGTCATCTGGTGATTTATCTATTAAATCTTCTTGATACAGAGATTTCGGTACCAATCCACCTTCTGGTACACCACACTGTAATAAAATACATACTGATAAAACATGTTATAGACCTGTGTGTCCATGTAAACCCTGCATCTTGTCCAATTAAAGCCCTGTATACTGACCAACCTTAGAAGGAACACCTCAGGATTTCTTGGCATAAATTTATCAAGACATGTAGTCAACACATACAGATTTTTATCATGCCCGGGGTTCCTTTGGCCTCCTCCTGTAGTGATACTGGAAAGTTGAAGTGAGCACATGATATGAATAATCTGAATCATATTGATTGACCTAAAGCCAAGGTTGCAACAAAGGATTATAATCACCAGCACTTGTTCAAAAATGCCAGAAATTCCCTGATCACTCCTGATGTTAATGTAGGGTAAGTGCATCCCAAATTTTAAGTCAGCACACCAAGAACTTCAATCAATAATTGGTATATCATTTAGTCATTCAAAACACTGTTCACCATAAATACTTACATAACAATCCCCACCCAGGAAATCAGGTACATATTGTTTATCAATAAACTCGATTAATCCACCAGGACCATTATAATCATTTCCACCATAAATCATAAACTTTTTACGAGTATTTTCATCTATAAACGGACTAACTAATGTCCATAGTACTGGAAAAACACGAGGAGCTCGAACGATCAACAAACGACCCATAGTTTCGGGATAATTGGCTTCCACTATTTCTATGATTCGTAATAAAGCTCGAACACCTGGTCTCCACACATGTCTCATACTTAATCCATCTAGATCAACAATACACGTACAAGCACTGAAAGATAATAAATATTTCTATGAATTTCTTTTTTGGGAGATGCTTTATATTTTCAAAAAAAATCTCTGAAACATAATGTTTTTTAAGATTTTTGCAATTTGGTATATCTTCTCAATGTTCATAAAAGTTTAATATAAACGTGTAGTACAATTAGGGCTGCTTATCTACCACCATATTAGAAGGGACATGGGTAGATTTCAGGTTGGATTGGTTACGTAAAAGAAAGATCTCTTCCATGAAAATTAGGCAGAGTCAACTAGTAATCAATTAAATTTCAGACAAACTTGACCATGGATTTTATTTTGGGTAATTCTTATGTAATTCTGTGAACTATAAGCTTAATCACAATTTTAACAGTGAAAATATTTTACTATTGTAATTCTATGAACTATTATAGAATTGCCTCTTATCTTACCTGACAGGATAGCCCCTTTTATTGGTGGCCCCTTCAGCTCTCCTTAACCCTTCTTCATTTACTGATAATACCTATAATATACAAAATTTTTAATGAGTAAGGCCAGGTGAAAACTTCTAGGACATCTTAATGTACCGGTAACACTATGACTAGGACAGTCTATGGGATAGATATCAGAGTCAATAGAGGTTTACTTTTCCATATAGGTCTTAGTAATCATTTCATACATACATGTTTGAGTATAGCTTCTTCTCCTGCTGATTTCATCAGTCCTTTTACATCCATCTGTCCTAGTCGTAATATATATAATGGTCTCCCTTCTACAAATATAAGTTTACATGATTATAAGTAACAAAAATGTTTAAACCTGACATAGATCACTAACTATAATCCAGAAAATATGGTTTAAAGACATCTGCATCTGCACAAAAGATTCCACAAGTTTCTACAAGTCTGTTTTAGCTTGACTTGATTAAGTGCCTTGATAAAATACAGTGTATTTAATACACACAAATGACTCTGATTGTAATGCAGTATCCTGAATTGAAAACCTTCAAAAAAATCTGAACAAGGGAGCTGTAATAGAATGATCACTTGTATAAAATTCAGGTGCTATTAAAAAATTCTAACCAAAAGTATAATTATTGTCTTACCTTTATCAGAGTAATGCCAGCCGCCAGGGTAATATGACTGCATGGCAGGAGAAGGGGTGTAGGTGTCCAATAAATTATCTATATTGTGTAGTTTACGCCAAGCCATAGAATGAACCAGCATTTCTCTTGCTTTATCAATATTAAAATCTCTAGCACGTAAAAATCTCAGGATATGACCATCTTTAGGAATCTTAAATAGATAAATAAACTTATTCCAATGTATGAAGTTGTCATCACCACTTCTATTTACCCATGAGATGGTCATGGTCTGTTATTCCTGTAATAAATGCTGCTAGTGCAAATGAAATGAAATGAATGGAGTTTTACATTTATGGCAGTTAGTGCAGAAGAAGGGAATACTATCCTTACCTTTCCTTTATGAGTTTCTCGTAAACTTTGTCTTAACTGAACCAAACTACTCTCCTCCACCATAGTAAGATGTCCCAAAAATCTTTTAATATAATCATCATCTAGTTTACCCTTAGCTTCTGGTATAGCTACTATCACATCTACAAATAGAAATTATCACTAAGATTTGGCCTTCAGCTTATGAGAGTTTTGTACTTTTGTCTTGCCTCTAATAATTAATGATTTCAAGAATGCAGTACATTCCTAGTTAAAAAGAGGTAAAAGGGGGTCTTGGTGGATAGAAAATACAATGTATCACACAGTTTGGTACTTGCCGAATTTGTACTTAACATCTCTTTATACTACATTTATTAATGTTTGACAGAGCCAGAAAAATTAGCTCACAGGAATGGGTGGAAAGATATTCACTGATACCCTGTATCTCAGACTTCAAAATCTAACCGTGTGACAGGTTCTCATTAGTCTTATAACTAACCTTCATCTTCATCCTCTCCATTTTTACTAATGGTAGCAGCAGATGCCCCTAATACTAGACTAGCTTGACTATGTTGACTAGTAACACTGTTAGAGCGAGATCGTTGTAACCCACTATCCTGGGATGGAGCATTTTCTACAGTTGGTGTTTTTTCTCGGTCTTCTTCCGAGGGTCCTGTCCATGGAGGTATATTGGTTATACCTTCAGATATTAGTTCATTTATATAATACTCTATAACCTCTTTACCCTAAAATAGATAAACATGTCAAGATTTTCAACTGTACTAGGTTCTATTCTGAATAGCATACACATCATATTATATCTCTTCCCTGTTCAAAAAGTACAGGCCAAGTTATCTCAGTTAATCCATTACTAAAATCACATACATGTAGCAATTTCAAGCAGGTAATGTTTCATCGGCATATTAGAGGAACAATTTTATGGATAGATACTTCTAGAATATTTATTACTTCAACGTTTTAATGTGTACTCACACACAATATAATGATAATATAATTTCAAGGAGGGACTTCAAACAAAACCATATCAATTAACAGCTTTCTAATATTGATGTATAGGAAATCAACAATATAGATTTATTAACAGTACTGCACAGAAAACAGTTCCACAATCCCCTCCCCCACCCTTCTGTGTGTTGATCAATGTTTCAACCTTTAAATATGGTATATTACCATTTATTGCTTGAAGCAAGAAATCAACAAGCTTGATATATCAAAGGTACAGATCCTCCCCCTCCCCCTTCCCCTCCTTTCTGTGTGTAGATCAATGTTTCAAATAATATATAAAACCACGTCAATTAACAGCTTTTTATTATTGATTTATACGAAATCAACAAGCGTGATATTTTAACAGTGCTACATATCAAAGACTACTTCTCCTGCCTTTCAGTGTGTAGATCAATGTTTAAAACCTTCATATATAATTATAATCACATCAATTAATTGCTTATTCCATATATTGATTAATAAGAAATCAACAAGAAGGATATTTAAGATCAGTTACACCTCCCTCCCTTTCACGCCCCTCCTACCTAACCTCCTCTCTGTGAGTAGATCAATGTTTTAACTGATATACATAACAATATCAATTAATTGCCTATTGAGCATATTGATTTATTTCTATATTAAAGGAAATCAATAACATAACTAACCTTTTGAATATTAGCTGTATATTGTTTCATAGCAATTTTCTCTACAGTACTTTCAAAACCGAAAAAATGTTTAATATCGAGACTAGCATCTTGTTCAAAACAGGTCCAGTTAGAATTTTCTGGATGTACCTGAAAAACAATAGAAATTCTTTTATGGAAATAGGTCAGAGATAGAAATATTGCAGGTTGAGCGCTAGAGTGCTCTTCCATGTGTAAGAACAATTCTGGAAATAGCTTGACACCCTTCAGCCCTTCAATGAACTCTTCCAAAAATGCATACAGTGAGAGTTATGTTCATTTTCAAACTCAGGTGGGATTTTTGGTTCTTTACAATCATTGGTTAAAAACTGGAGTGAATGAGACAAATTAGAGTTAAATAGAGTTTAAAAAAATCCTTTTTGACTTACAGAATAATTGCAATGTTCATTAATAGTAACCCTGGAAGCAAAACTTTCGTTAAAAGCAGTAATTTTTAAAGTTCGATTTCTTCGATCCAAGGCATTGGTCTGATTAAATAGCACATAATCCACTCCAACAATCTGCAACAAAGAAATAACACTAACAGCTTGTAAGTTGTGAATAATTTAAAATTTTCACTGCTAACTAGCTCATTAGGCTTATTGTCATCATGTGCAAAACCATAAACCATGTAAAATGCTACATATGCCTACATGGCAGCTAGTAGTAAATGTCAAATTTAGTGGCTCACTGGTGTAGCCCTTGTCGCTAAGAAAACAAGAGTATTAAGGTGGCCAGATATTAGTTGGTAGACAAGAGAATAAGTTCTACTTGTTGAACTCCAGTAGGGACACACGCCGAAAATAGGTCAGTTGTCTGAAGATCACAAAGCGTGAAGCATGTTTCACGTTCTGTTTTAATATTTCTATTAAATTCTCTAATACTTATAGTCATACAAATATATAATGGCTTTAAATATTGATGTAATAAATGAGAAATAATGATAGAGCTACATTTCTGCTTTTTTTTTAAATTTTTTTCAATATTGTTCAAGAGAATTGGAATAGCAGCCTCAAAATAGAACTGAGAGTCTTAGAATGTCTTTGCATTGATAAAAATATAACTCTTTGTAAGTTTACATTGAAAAACAAAACCTATTTCTCTCCTAGAAATCATCAAAAGTCACAATTTGGCTGAAAATTGTCTTCTGTAAAAACAGATTTTGAAGACATAATGTGTGCCCATGTTTAAATTTGTATCAATGCAAAGACATTCTAAGACTAACAGTACCATTTTGAGGCTGCTATGTCAAAATTCTGAATAAATAATTGGAAATATTCAAGAAACTTTTTCCTTTGCTCAGACAATAGTTCCATCTGCAGCTATCCCTTAAACACAAGTTATTTCACCTTTTTCAATAAATATGGTGCATCAACATTCAAGCGACATCTCCTTTCAATAGTTTCCTCAGCTCCATCTTCACTGTGATATTCAGAGATAATTTCACTGCCTAGAAATACTGGAATCATTTTACATGTTGGAAATCTCTTTTGGTAGGCCTGTAAGAAAGAGGAGACAGAATATATAATTTCTTTTATCAAGCTTGTATTAGCAAAAGAAAGTTGGAAGAGTCATCATACATGCATATGGGATAGGCCCTACATTTAAAGGGCTATCAACATCGAGTAAACTCTTGTTTACATAAATTTTAAAAAATCATTTTTCTCAGGGTTGAAATTCTTTTTTTGGCTTATGGTAGGCCTGTTAGAGGTAGAAACATAATGAATTTCATTCCATGAAGCTTATTTTAGAAAAAATGATATCACCACAAATATACATTCTTAAAGTATGGGATAAGCCCTAGGCTCTATAATCAAATGGGTATGCTAGGCCTGTCAAATAAACTCTTGAAAGTAAAAAAATGTTATTTCATGAAGCTTTATTAGCAAAAAAGTTGGTTTATATCATATCAAATATATATTGTCAGTCTATGGGATAGGTCTTACAAGTTAGGGTAGGATAGGCCTATTACTATTAGGAGTGAACTTTCCATGGAGATTCTCAAGTAGCTTAGCGGTGTAAAAATTTCAACTACCTAATAAATGACAAGAATAAACCAATCACTTACAACAATAAACAATAAAACAAGTTATATAAAGCCTATCAGAAATATCATCAACATGATCATGTTATGCAAATTCTACATCTTTTATTCAGTGAGTGACCTTAATGAACTAAGAATTATCTGTAACATTAACTTGATTGCTTTTCTGTTCCTGATGAGAATGAGAGAGGAAAACCACAATGATGACTAAAATGTATGATTGAATTAAGCTAGTAAATAGCAAGCCGTGTCGGATTGATAGGCAATAGCTGTCATATCTATAATATTCTCAAAATCACAGATCAGGATTTACGATTGATTGATTTCCATTTGCTTGTTGAACTTGAGTTGGGGTTTAGCCGTTGCGCTGAGCTGTGGATTTAAAATACTTACGGCCATCACTATTTCAAACGGGTATTTGTACACCCGAACGGGTGATTGGTATTTCTGCACCATCTCAAACCCGTCAATTCAGCAAACCATCAGACAAAAAACAAAACAAACATAAACAGATATTATAACTGTCAAAAACTAAAAATCGACAGAAAAATAACAAAACCGGCAGCCATTTTCTAATCCAATAACGTTTGCGCATGCGCATCCAGCTAGCTTATCCAGTAAACTTTTACTATCGAGGGGGATCTGTGACAAAATAGGCTAGAGCTTGGTCGACGTGGCATACATTTAAAAGTCACTTATTTCACCTTCTTGACCACTTTGTGTTACGGTTACTGAATATGATAAATTCCTGAAAAGATCATCTTTAGAACACACTGACCGTCGGATGTCATATTTGGCCTCGATTGGGGCACTACATCTAATTGAATATAAGACAACAATCCAACTTTCTGACGACTGAGTATACTCACATCTTCATGAAATTCTGGTTTCGATACTAAATGAAATTAAAGTTACTATTTTCTTTGATTATAAATATATTATTTATTATAGCAATAAATTAGAATAGCACATTTAATGAAATATCCACATATTACAAAGATAACAATTTCGAAGGGATCATTTTACCAGCAGGACTTGGTCGAGCTTATTCAAATAGATACCGTGTAATTCGTACCCATTTTTAGTTGGGTAGACTGAAAATAGCACAATAGACAATAATATACAAATAAATTATTATATAATAAATAGCACATTCACACTATCAAGGGAGATAATTTATACAAATGTAACATCTCCATCACCAAATTCACCTTCAGATTTTCTTTCAAACAATTCACGTATTAATTTTCTTTTTTCACTTTCAAGCTGGGTTATTTTAGAGTCTTTGTCTTTATTTTCTTTAGCTAGGATATGATTTTGTCTTGTCAGCTGCTGATTGGATGGGGGTGCCTCTCTGAAGGATACATTTATATGATTGGGGAACCCCTTGCTGTTATCATCAATAAGATTTTTAAGATGGCGGTTCACCCCCTGTATTCGCGTTCTCTGGTAATTCATCTGCTCTCTATGTGACACCAAGGAGTTGCTGTTGAAAAGATAATGACGGGCATACTTCTCCTTCACGTTAACTTGTTCCAATTTCTTTTTATACCAGTCTTTTGTTTCGTCCACGACATGTTGTCCCTGCAATAAGATTGTTTTCTCTTCGCTAAGCTGCTTCAATCGAATATTGAGCGCTTGATCTAAGTCGATACCAGTTGTCAACGTATGACGTCTCGTGGATTCTTTCGGTGATGTTCTTTGACAGTTGATGCTTTGTTTTCTGTGAGAATGGTTGACGTTGACATAAATCGGTTCAGATTTAGTCAAATCTTGTTGTTTATGCCATGATTTCAGCTCGCTCAATAGACTGTTACATCGAATGTCTCTGGCTGGGATCTCGGGTGCTGTGTCGTTTAATATGGTCGGCCGCTTTGGTCGAGGTGGTACTGGCTCACGGAGGGTGTTGGAACCATAATGGCTCGTTGTTCTGGTGGTTGGGTTGGTTTGATGAAAACTTTTGCTCCTGGATACTGCTGAAACTGGTCTTTCTAATACGTTATTTGGTTTAATGGCCGCAGTGACCGGAACTCTAGGTTTGGAGTACACTGGCTGACGAATATCCTTCTGTATACTACTCTCTTGGGTTTGTGTTGCAGATCTTAGCTTCTGTTTAGCATTGGAAACTAACGCTAGCTTCAAACCTGATACAAAGAGGTCAAAGGTTAAGAATCCGTTTGCAGGAGCAACGTTTTTGAGAGCATGTAATACACCGGGTGGTAAACCGTTCACACCTCTATCATTCCATCGTGTTTCAATATCTCGTAAGTGAACATAACCGTTCTTGTCTTCATCCAGAATATCGTAGAGTACTCTCAACGAATTTAAGAAGTTTTTCGGTAATCCATCTTTAAAATCTTCCATCTTGCACAATGTAAATTTGTCTTGTAGGCTAGTGGTAGAAGGTGAATTGATAATGACATGGTTTAGATAGAGCAGGTTTATATATTTTACAAAATGCGTTAACTTTGATTGGTAATGAATGACAGTGACGAATCTCACTCCTCATTGAAACAACTAAATGATCAATTTAATTTGTTGGTTGTTAATTGGTTAATAAGTGATCAAGAGAAGGATTAAAAGATTTAACAATAGGGATTATCTTGCCAAACAGTAAAAATTGACAGTTGCAAGTGTGAACTCTTTAATCTACACGTGTCATAATTGATTATATGTGAATGGCAGTTTGCCTTCTTAATTTTGCCCACACATTGTGAAACTAAAGAAATTACTGACCAAACATATAACTAACTGTCAACGACTTTCCTGTTATTTTCGTAATTTTTATTAACGCATTTTTAGTCTTAAAGTGCAATTACCATAGGGCATTAGCATATTGCATATGCATATATTTGAAACGTCTGATAGAAATAAAGTGAGGGTTCACTTTGCGGTTAGGATCATTTTTCCAAAATTTCAAGCTATTACGGACTGCGTCTTATACCTTGACTGCCATATAGGAGGATAATCTGATAACATTATTTTCGTATATTTTCTAAATATAGCTACGTTATATGTAGCTATGATATCAATATTTATCAGTTTATAAGTCAGTGATACGAAATTCAAAACGCAAACAACATTGTTCTACATATAGCACGTCTAACTTATCTCATCAGATAAAATAAAGTACATACCATACCGGCTTTAATTCAAAGGTGGGTACATTAGTAGCACATTTAATAATTTTCATAGCATCTGTCATACAGCATTTTGTTTGTCATGTGGAAGATCGTGTTTAAATTAGTTTCAGGTTAGACATAGAAGATCTCTATATTATAATCGAGCAAAAGTTTTAATGTACATTCGGATCCGATGCAAAACATACACGCCAGTAGCCCACCTTATTTTCGGAAATTATTGCAAATCGCACATTACGTTATGTTTATTGTTTTCAAATACAAGTAGGTATTGAGGGGAAGGGAGGGCGGGAGTAGCAATACCGCACCGAAAAAAAAAAAAATCCCCCTGACAAAATTCCATAGCACCATAGCCCCTTCTGATATAATTCCGAACAATCTAGTCTGCCCACGGCCTGACTATGTTGTGTTATGTGTACATAAAATGTTTTATTTTATCTTATCGAATTAGTACTGATAGTCTTAATGATTTGCGATAATGAATATACAAATTTGTGTAGTTAGAATAACCAGAAGTTACTTTAAGGGTTCAATTTAAACGATATCGTATTGTAATTTATCACGAACAATCTGCAAATCAAATATATAGTCCTGAGGATTTTTACAAATCTAGTAAAATTAGGCAACGCTCGGTAGTCTCTACTATATCGGGGAACTATAGATTGTCAGCTGGATCTTTGTATCTTAGAGTTCAATACGATTGTTAAACCGGAAATGAACCGGAACATTTTGAATTACTACCGAATTTTTTTTTAAATCATGTTATATTTGAGTTGTAACGTTTTATATACGTCTAAATTCAAGGGAAGGAATTATCTACAATTTTAGTTGACCATTAAGGATTTTTTTTATGAAAATATGTTAAATCTAATTTTAATATGAAGTACTGGGGCTGTATCGCACGGGTGAAAGACATGTTCTGTCATTGGGAGCATCGCACGGAGGTTCAATGATTAACTATCAATATCACCGCCATCGCTAGTGCTCAGAAGCTTTGATGAAAATATGATTTTATTTGATTTGATGGAACGCCATGTTTTCAAAAATTCTGTCTGGGGTTCTGATAAGCTGTATTCACTAACGTACAATCCAATCAAATTACAACCCCCGTGATTTATACACGTGTCTAACGATGTCAAGGTATTAATAGCTTGGTATTGTGGAGATAACTGTATGTCCTTCTGTTACGACCATTATTGAACGCAGTAGACTGCTTGAGGACCATTGACCTACTTAAAATACAGATTGCACAAACAATAACATCTACTCATGCACGTGCAACATTACAGGTCACGTGAGACCAACTCACGTGCCATTACATACACATAGAAACTTTTTCAATCAAAATAAACTTGTTCCAGGTAAATAATATTAATTTTTTATCGCTTCGTCATTCATTTCAATGTTCAATGATTAGGGGTGGTAAAAATGTAAGCGATATCGATGATTATTTACATGCAAGCACATTCAAGGTATATTCTAAATGTCGTAGGCTTTCAACCACTTGGACATGTCCCAAGGTGGGGACATTTGATGTGTCACAGCCAGTCACAGACTGTGAAAAATAAAAACTTTCCAACTACAATATATACAACATCTCATATGATGACTACACTATACACAGTCTAAATTAAGATTGTCTTGCAGTACTCAGAGAATTATTACTATCAAACTATACGAGAACGTGCCTGGTATACAATCATAGATACGCATTCGGTATTTGGGGACATCATTTTCATGCTGATTCGATTTGTGGACATATACCAAAAACGGGTTGAAAACCACTGCTATGAGTGATTATTATTTTGTTATTATAGGTATCTTGTTACATACCATTTTACCCGACATGGCCTGCCCTAAATATGTTCGATCTCCGATCGATGCGATGCGTTATGCCACATTATTGCATATCATCTTATATAGTATACGTTTAATAATAAAAATATTAAATCAGAACCTGAAACATTTTGTTTTTTAGAGTTTCACGCTCTGCAAAAATTATCAATTATTGATGTATCGAGTATTAATTTCATATTTGTTATTATTTATGATATTGATTTCAGATGACCGATTTAATTAAAACAATGGATATCCGTGTATTTGAAGGGTTATTTGGTGTATTGTTAATATCATCATTATATGTTATCTATCAACAAGATATTATATTAACAATAGCAGGCGTTATAGGAGTATACATCGGATTTAGAATCATCAAATCCAGAAATAAGACAGTTGTACCTTACTCCAATAAAACTGTTCTAATAACCGGGTGTGATACAGGTAAAGATTCAAGACAATTAGAAGAAGTTATACTCCTGTTGCGTTTCTAGGAAACTAAGGGGCCGAGTAGGAGTCACAGAATTGTAAACCTCGCAAAGGGAATCATGCGTGAAAGAACTCAATAAGAATTTAGAAAATTGAAGCTACAGAGGGGGCCAAGCCAGATCGGCCTCATTTATAGGAGACCATGCCTCTTAAACTCCCTGGTTTGCGATATGACTTTGATTGAAGATCATATTAATTGAACCACCTAAAGGTTCAAGACTGACCCCAAGAACTAGTTTTTATTAAACATGTACCTAAATTAACAACATTATGAATCTTAATTTGTAGGTATTGGACATAATATAGCAGTGAGATTAGGTAAAAAAGGAGTAACAGTACTGGCATGCTGTCTATCAGCTACAAGTCCCGGAGGAGAAAAATTGAAATCTATTGGTAGTAATGTACATGTTCTAGACACGGATGTGACATCAGAGGATAGTGTACAGAACTGCCTGAAATTCGTCAAGACAATATGTGACAAAAAAGGTAGGGGTACGATTTACCTTGTTTCCGACACTCCTGGCGAATGGGATGGGAAACATTCTTCTCGACGGTTTTATGAACATCTGGGAGACTTAAAGAGGTTGTAAAGAGATTTTCTACAAAAATGTCTGTATCGGGGACACTGATAGTATCAATTTGCTCCATTCCAATTTTCAATCGGACGTCTAAAACTAAGTGTTTGATGATGTCCATTATTGCGAAGAGCCCTATGTGATAAAACATATTTTGCGATTATTGACGTCATCAAACCTTTAGTTTTAGTGTAATTACAGGAACCACAGACGTCTGATTGAAATATGGAATGGTGCAAATTGGTGCTATCAGTGTACTTTGTTTATTTATTGCACCTAATTTCTGCATTTCTGTATATTTCGAAAGTAAGTCAATATAAATGATATTGTATTACATATATCAGGATTATGGGCGATTGTAAATAATGCTGGTATAGTGCGATGTGGAGATGTAGAACTTACTACCATGGAAGTATATTCTCAGATCATACAAGTCAATTTATTCGGAATGATTCGAGTTTGTAAAGCCTTTCTTCCTCTTGTCAGACAAGCTAAAGGTAAACTCTTGTTTATTTCTCGTTTATAGCAAACTCTCAGTGGCGGAGCGAAATGGGGGAGGGGGCAGAGACCACTGCAAACTGTAGCGATCCATGTCATATCATTAGACAAGTGAGGGTTTTGAATCATGCACTGAAGCTAACTGAACACATGCTCCCCCACCCCTCCCTCGGGCCAGAAAAAAATGAAAAATCGATTCTACTGTCACTGCCAAAATTGCGTTAGATGTATTGTTTGCCTTCTTAGATTAAAACATTTTCCAGGGCAAGGCCTCCCTGATCCCCACAACATGACTTGCATCCAAACGTGGAGCCCCTGTTATTGAAATCCTGTCTATGCCACTGCCTATATATGTAATAAAATGAAAAAGAAAATGTCCCCAAGAGCATGCCATATAGGTTGGACTTTTCTATTTATTTCCAGGTCGAGTAGTCAACGTGACAAGTGTAAGAGGTATCATAGCTTATCCAGCTTTCTCGGCTTACAGCATGTCCAAATTTGCTGCCGAAGCCTTTTCAGATAGTTTACGCATGGAGATGAGCAGGTTTGGTGTAAAAGTTATCATAGTTGAACCTGGCAATTATGGTGGAGCCACTGCCTTATGGGAAGAAGAAAACGTAAGTCAACCAATCTCAGAAATAATCCACGAATTAATTTCCTGTCCTTGTCATATCCCCACTAAATGTAGCTTGCTTAGTCCACTTCTGGTTTATAAGGATAACGCATGGAGTTATGTGATAACGTCTGAGATTACTTCCGGTTTTATGATCTACTATTCCACATCTAGATGGACTAATGAAACCAAGCGGGAAAGCCAGGACAGCTACACAAATTCCGCTACTGGTGGTATCAAGAAATACCCAAACCTTGACAAGACTTTTCAAGATTTTGTAACCACAATCCAATCAAAAATGTTTCTGTACCTTTTGATCCATAATTACCAACTTAATGCCTGTCCTTGTCCATTATCACGTGGCATTGATTTCGGTTAATGGTGAGGACTTCTAGACAGGTTTGGTTTGTCCAATCAATTCACCCCCGTGTTTCGGTTAATCGCTATTTTATATCCATTACTTAGAAAAAGAAGCTTTTAAAATCAGTAGACGACATGAATGCTGCAGCCAGCCCGGATGTCTTGAACACTTATGGAAATGGGTACCTGCATAGATTAGCAATGAATGGCATTGAAGGTTGTAGCACGACATATCCTAATCTCATACCAGTGTCGGATGTTTTAGAAGACGCCATCTTTAATCAGAAACCAGAATCGAGATATCTAATAGATGGCAGTAATAAATTGTATGATATTGACTGTGTAAGTATGTGACTAATGGCCTTCAGACGGCCTGAGATGAATTTTGACCATTAAGAGGCCTTAAGTTTTACTTCATAATTGACCTTTCACAGACCTAAAAGGGGGGCGGCAATGGCGTATTTACCTATTTCATAGTGAGATAGGCTGATAACGAAATTGTGCTTGCCCCATCTGGAACACATACCACACCCCATAATAGTAGTTACGAACGTGAAAAAGCTTTGTATATTATCCCAATCAATTCGGTTTTTGATTTCTTTCAGATCATGGGTCGCTTGAGGCCGCTTATACCAACCTCAGTAATGGACTACATCACCATGACATTTTATGGGCCACCAAAACCACCAATATTCAAACGATGATATAGCTAAAATTGGCATTATGCCTGTTTTTTTTTTTTGGTTATGGTATCAGGGTTTATTTAATGTTATTGTTTATCATAAATGTTGAACTTTCCACTTGTATAGGCCAACAGACCAAAAACTTGATCCCGCATTTTCCTCTTACACCAATCGTGGAGTCGTCAAAGGTATATTTATATTGTGATATTAAAGGGATTGTAAAGAGGTTTTCAAATTTTCTATGTGCATCGGGGACACTGATAACATCAATTTTCACCATTCCAATTTTCAGTCTGCAGTCTGAATTCTGCAATTCTACTACAACTAAGTGTATACAAGGCCTTCGCGATTAGTGACGTCATCAAACACCTAGTTTTAGAGGAATTTGAGCACTTGCCCAACTTGCCCTTCATATAAAAAATGTAAAAAACATCTTTACAACCCCTTTAATCTAATCTAGGATCAATATATTTCATATCATCATTATAGCAATATTTTATTTATTTGTAGCTGTAATAATAATAACAGTATATAATATAAAGATAAGATAACATTATAATGTAAGATATAGAAAAGCAATAACAAATATCTTATGCAGTTCTACAGTTCATGGCTTCCAGATATGTCACGTACCACAGCTGACACAGGCTGTTAAGTATATTTTCTATGCGTGGATGCCTCAATTCTTCTTGCAACTAACAGTTTCTAACTTCCCAGACTGCGTTATCCCAGCAAAGCCACACCCATTGCAGCCAAAGTTCAACATGTCTTCTACCTCTTGTTAAGAGAATAGGCAAGTAAAAAAGTAGAAAAAAATAATCATGATCTGTCTCACCTCTCAGTGAAACCGTCGTTAACGAGCAGAAAATAAATACACAACATAAATTGTCAAGGCACAAGAATGCGACAGAGTCATCATATAGAAAATTTGAAATTATAACAAAATAGCAGAATGTCGGATTACTCAGATATCAGATATCACGGAATACATTATATATTATATATAGAAATATACCGTCTTACTATTGGCTTTATCACTTTGAATTGAGTTTCATCACTTTTCTGAATGGATATTGCATGGTTTATCAAACAACACTATTTTAAGCATCAGATTCGTTTTCGCTTTTAATCTTATCGTTGATTTCCGTTTTCTCCTTATCATTTTCTCCATTATCCTTAGCATGATCATTAATCTTATAAGCATTATCATTATTATCATCATCATTATCTCCGAACGAACTGCTAATGTACGGAAGTTCATCTATTGAATCGTCATCATCGACCAATTCCATCTCAACTTCAGTTTTATTTTTATTGGCCCCTGGTTTATAAAAATGTGGTCTTTTATAAGCTTTCAGTTTGTCTTCGATTGTCCCCCCGACGCCTATCTCTTCATGATGGACTCGAAGAGCAGTCAAACCTTTTTTTCGTTCCATATCTATAAAATACATTAAACAACAGCATAAACAACATAGAACTCTTGTTAAGGTATTCTTTGGAGAAGGGCAGTGAAAGTAGTATTAGACTGCAGTGTTTGATTGCCATTAATTGAAGGGCTATAACAACGATATAATATTCTGTATTCAGTTTTAAATTGCTGTACTGTGGGCTAGTGAGTATAAATCAAGGAGCCTGAATACCGACAATCTTTGGTGTAAAGAGATTAATAGTAAAACTTATATGTGTAACAGGAAGTTTAATGACGATATTTGGATAAACATATTCTGTGGATTCACCTATTTGATAATTATGAGATTCTAATGGTACAAAGCAATTGACTAACCAAACTTAAAAAAAAATGGCATTCCTGTGAAATTGGTATTGTGCCGTTTCAACTTGCCCATCTGTCTTTTAGTAAAAACTCTTAAAAATCTGATACTTTTGGGAATGTAATGGCCGAGATCGAGTTAAACAGTGGCATTTCGAATTGTTTGGTACCTAACTTACCCGGCTGTCGTCCAGTAAAAACACTTAAAAATGACTGCCAGATGTAAGATATCAACTCCATATCCACTTCCGCTTCGTCCACATCGGGATTCTCTGAAAACGCCATGACATCGAGCAAAATGGCTAAAAATAGGTTCTGCATGGTCAAACCAACAAGAACAACGAACAGACAGAAATAGAGTATAGTAATCCAGTAATCTTGAACCTCAGTATTCGTGTGTTTGAAGTATGGACTACCCATAACAGCTGTAAAAAGAGTTTCCAAACAGTAAAAGAAGCTTTTGTATCCAGTGGACATTCTTCCAAACAGCAGTAAACCAGCAAAGCTGAAGCTCAGTAACATAGTAATGATGTAGAAAGCAAGACCAGGCAAGACTCGCGAGCTTTGCCACAATACAGTATAGATTTTAATCGTGAGTTTAGAATGTCCCAAGGCTTTGATCAATCTTAATGTAGCAATTGCTGTTAACAGTCCCAGGAACATGACAAAGATTCCATCCCAAAGGGCTACATGATAGAAGTTGACAAACAGTCTGTTATTGTCCGCATATTTTGCCAAAGCATCTGATGTGAATTTTTCTCGTATTGCATACATCGCTATTGTTATTATGGCCACCGCCATCATTGTAACCTCCACCACGTTCCAAAAGGATCTGAAATATCTCAATCTTTCCTTGGCCAAATCAATAATAATCATAATCACATAGATAATGATATACACCAGCAGGGCGATTTCACAAAATAGTACATATTTAGCATTGGCACCTTCGTGCTGACTTGGTCTGAACGGGAATACATTCTTGAAGTTCAGAGCTCCACCTGTCTCAGGAAATTCCGTCAACAAGGTCACGTATACGAATATATTCAGATTCACATTATAGAGCGTAAACTCAAAGAAAACGGCACGAGTATGGCGATCAATCCATCTAGCTGCATGTAATTCTTTCAGAGATTCGAAAGAAATAAGTTTATTGATGTCTAAATTAGCAATGTATCCCCCTCCACCGTATGTATTATGGTATCCACTTATTGGGTAGCCCCATATATCACTGGCTGATGTGAAGGTCCAAGATTCATGTGTTAAAGCCAGTTTCTCATGCTCGGCACAAGGTGTGTCTGTCCATCCAATACAGTAGGTATCCGTGTCTTCTTCTGTCATCCAATACCCCGGAATGCATCGAGATTCGTTCATGTATTTCCAATCACAGAAAGCTAAAATAGAAGATAATAATCGATGTCAAATTTCTTTTTGAAGGTTACCTCCATTGTAGTCTGGTCCCGACACTATATTCTTTATTTGTAAAGTGTTGTCCCCCTTGTAATAAAGTGATTTTTTTACTGTTGATAATTTCTCTTGAACGTGAAAATTCGCGCCAATTTTTTTAGGCTTCAGAAACAGATTTCCTTTCTTCATTTGCTGTATTCACTGGCCTACATTACAATCAAATCGCTGCATTCTGTACGTTTTCGACCTTCGGAAAACTGATGCAATCGCACAATATATTTCTCCAAATGTAGTGCTAAATGGTGCTCACAGTAAAGATGGAAACTTACTTTGTTTAGTTCTGACCTGACGGAGACGAGGAGGACCAACTCTAAAGTTATTGAGGTAGTAAGAAAACATCCTCGCACTGGAGACCATCCTGTACCCTCTATAGTCTCTTTCTTTAAACATTCTAGGTAACACTGTGTCATTTAACCATTCAAAATAGGTCTCTCTACTTCCAACCTGGAAAATATCAATTACTCGTTATTCCGGTATACATATCGTACTATATGGAATTGGGAATCGAACGAGAATGGTCACTGAAAAAATATAACAGTCCGTTCTGTTCGGGAACTGTCGGAGGTGTTAACATATAACAATATTTCGCTATATAGCGAAAAATCATTAGATATAACCTTATGATTGATAGCCAAGTATAGTCACCTTCTTACGACGGGAAAGGTTTGAGAATCAGAAATTGTTTATTAAATGATTATTGGGAAAATGTTGTAGCCTACTCACTGATTCAAATGTTCTGCCACTACTCTTATAAGCAGGGGTGATGAAATTGTTTTCGACATATCGATCCAGAAAATAGGAATTGACATCTCTGTTACTGTAGGATATGCTCAACAGAAACCAAAGGAACAAAGCATTTACAGCCAACTCTTTCACAATCTTCCTCATTCTATCATTTCGTTCTCTCTGAAGCTTCATCTGGTAAAACTGTTGATCGGAATAGGGACTGGAGAACTTGAGAATCTTTCTACCAGAGTTTGGTAATCCCTTGTGCTTGGCTAATAGCTGTATCTCTTTCAGATCATAATGTGTGGGTTTGTTGCTTCTGATGGCCTTTAGAAATATTGCAAAAATCACTGCCATTACTATAACCTGGAAAAATATATCTTACAGTTGTTAGTGAACAGTTATACATGTGCATGTGCGTTTCTAGGAAACATTAGTTGAGGGTTCCGAGCAGGGGCCACACAATTTTTCAGGGGAGGGGGGGTGCATTGCCCCGGAGAAACACCACTATACATATGAGTCTATAAAGTGTTTAACTTATTTTTTGGTTTACCATGTTAAAAGACAGGTGGCAAAAAGTTAATGTCTGTCAGACGTCGTTTTCGCAAAAATAAATATGCACAGAACAGAAAGTTCAAACTCTGCCCGATTGGTCAAACGCCTTGATTGGCTAATCGATAAGCATCTAGTCCAGAACACTTGCTTACTCAGTTTAGATCTACTCTTTAAGGATTTTGCCTGTAATGATATTGAATTCTCTATTGATTGGGTAAATTTTAGTTAATGTAAATCGATGCACACTCAGTTTCGTGAACATGCTCACTGTACACTATTGGAAAAGATCATTCTTCATCAATAAGAACCATACTGAAGAACAAATTCGTACCTTAAATGGGTCCACCAGTACAATGGACTGGATAAAAGACAGGAAGAACGATGTCAACCATTCTTCAGATATACTTTGACCCCATTCAGCACTGTACAATATCAAGAAGAACGCCGAGAGAAAAGCTGCTAAGAATACCACAAACCATCCAAAATACACACAGAAATGAGGCAGGACTCCCTCTTTATCATCAACAATATCTCGTATGACTAGAGCCTCTTCTAACTTATTACTGTGTTCAATCTGTTTCTTCATAAATTTAGGATACCAGGACGGGATCTCTCGGATGCTCTTCTTCTGCTTGACGGAGAGTTTCGATTTCCGGAAGAGGAGAATGACCAGAAATATGGGCAAGGACGTAATAAGAATACTAACAAACGATATATACAGTTGATTTACAGAGAACCGGATCGGACCCAGTTCAATCTCACTCGGCTGGATCCGGTTTTTCTGATCCTTGATCTGAAAGAACATGGCGTTGGTGATCATGGTCAACATGAGTAGAGCATAGCAACAGCCAACTCTCTGAGATCTGTAAAAATGACTCTTCACTGGTCGAAGGAACACTGACAACCATAAATGATCATCTGTCACGTGACTTCGAGCATGCTCATAAAACATGGTTTTGAAGTTGTTGAAATTAACAGTTCCGCTGACATGTACCATTCTTTCAATGGTACCATCTTCTACTGATAGCCAGCCCGAACACATAAAATCGTATCTGAAATAAAACAAGATATCAAGTATAAAAACTATTTCCCCATTTTACAGTGACCTTCCCACATTGCACTTTCCACGTCAGTGATTTCATTCTAGTTATTTCCACCCCAGTTGCTACGTTAACTAATTAAAACTGCAAGACGGATTCGGTCCGATTAACAGGAGTAATGACAGTGGCGGAGCCAGGTTTACGTCCGAAGGGGGGCTAAATAGCTGAGATTGCCCGAATTTCTAACATAGTTATGAGATTTTTGCCCGAAAAACCTGCTATTGGGGCTGCGGCTGCGGCTGCGGCTACCCCCCCCCCCCCCCCTCCCTTTGCTCCACCACTGAGTAATGAATCATTAAGTCATTGGAATAGATTTCTTTAAATGACAAGTTAACGACCGCTTCCAGATACAGATACTGATAGATTACTATCTGCAACAAGAAGTTGTCTAATTATACCTGTCATTGGTTTGGATATCGTGGATTTCAATACGGTTCAGATACCAGGACGCCTTCTTGCCCTTTCCAGAATTATCATGCCATACACGGAAACACTGAAGTAAACCAAGCGGTTGTGGAACTGCCATTAAGAAATGCATTACACTGCCAGTTTCAAATTCCTGAAAGTTAGATTACATAAAAATTTTATAACTTGTGGTTGATATATTGACCTTTCTTGATCGGAAACTAATTGGAATTCTGCTGGTAATTCTGCTCTAATTTAGCTAATCATGAATTAATTATGTACATGAGAAACAAACTGGTAATTTTCAAAGTTATTAGAACACCTCTAGTTACTATTCATATTTGTATTAGCATTTTCATTTTCATAAATGAAAATAAGGGAACCCATCTTTAAAAGTTGATTATCTGCTACCAGTGCTAATTGTTTTATGGATCCTAGGTTTCATCTTTCGGATCGTTAGTAATTGGTTTATATATATGATAATGCATTATTCATAAGTTTACGCTTGTTACATTGCAAGACTTTTGATGCAGAACAATTTAATTTATCAATATCAATGGTTTGATCATGGATAATTGTTTCCCTACGATACATTAACGTCATATTCTACATTCGTCTGGAGTGGAGACAGAAAAACTAGGTCTTGTCTTATGCAGATTTTTCCGCACCAGCCGACAACTGGTGGGGAGGCAACCAAAGTACTAACGATCTGGGGCCTTATTCTGGAAAAACTTAACTTAATTTCAGTATTGCAATAATCTGATTGGTCAATCACGAAGACTAATTTGAAATTTGTTATATTATCCAATCAGATTACAGTATTTTGTAAAATCTAGATTTAATCTTATTTAACTATCCAATGAACTATCGGATAACCGTATTACCACGTTCTCTGGATTAAAATTAACAAGATATAGATGGAAGCATGATTATCATTGACCTACCTTTCGAACGCCATCTGACAGTGTTCTGATACCAGTATCACCACGTTCTCCTGATAGATTAAAATTGATATTAGATGTTGTTCCAGCACCAAGAACTAAACCAGTATAGACCGTGACTAGATAGTAGTAATCATCGTCATCATAATTATCAGCTAGTAATGTCACACCCCACTAAAAAAGACGCACATGTATCAAGTAAGCAGTATAAATGTGCGGGCACACGAGCGTTCTTGGTCGTAGACTTTTGTCGCCGATTAGAGTCTTGTCTTGAGTTTCAACGACTGGCATGGGTACACGAGGAAACAAAAATCTCCAGTCGGTCGTTTTCCACCTTGTCGAAAACCACGTGCGGGACATGCAATTGAATGGAAAAGGAATCTGATTGGATGATGGCGGTCTGTCTTGCAGACAATTACGGGCACACGCGCGATTTTACTCAAGATTCGAGTCGGAGACCAAGACCGCTCGTGTGCCCACACCTTTAGAAGTGCGGATTCTCCGAAAGGGATGCCAAGTTGACAAGCCAATGAGGATAACATATGGCTGAAAGACAGGGAGACCAATTATTCAATCCTATGTCATGGTATATAATGAATTACCGACACAAATTAACATATGGCCTTCACAAAAAGCTTTGAGACGAGTCTTTGTACTGGAGACCATTATTGTTGAATTTAAGCTTCGGTGCTCAGAAATATCTTGCTATATCCATACCCCTAATAGTCTTTGTTACAATTGGTCCAATATACCACTTACCTGTAGCTTATCACGACTGTCTCTCCAATGTCCCCATAGTCCAGCCAGTATAGCAACTAATGTTATTATCAAGATAGTTGCCAATACGGCAGCTTGAGATTGAATATCGAATTTACTGAATACCGTTGAGAAGTCGATAGAATTCGGTGGCGTGAAGAAGGAACTAGCAGTCAAAACTTGGTTGTTGTCTTGTTGACAGAGACAAGTTGTCCAATTCTTCAACAGATCCTTTTCTACCTAAAATATATACACGACGCATTCAGAAACATTTCAGAATATTTCTATATCGCTTTACTCTTGATGTATTAGTAGCCCTGTTTTATAGTGAAAATATTTTGTTGCTGTACAAGAGCCACCCATTCAAACAACTGTAGATATAAATGCACCAGTTAAGTCCAAGGGGAGGAGGGGAGGGTTGATATCTGCGATTGCCCGAATTTCTAACCTAGTTATGGGTTTTTTGCCTGAAGAACTTGCTTTCGGATATGCGAGGGGGGGGGGGGGGGGGTGGTGGCCCTAAGAACAACCCCCCTCTGTTCAGGGGGCTATGGTTTGAAATCAACCCTATAAGCGTTGCTATGACATAACTGATTTTTAAGACAACAGGGTTTTTGCCCTCATAGAAAAAAGGCCCTAGTTACGGCCTTGTATCTATTGAGAAGCGTAGATGTGGTTCAAACAACAATGTTTGTCGGTTTACCTCACAGTTATCAGGATCCCAATCCTCTTTCACACCATTCCAAGTCGCACAGTTAAAAGCCATTATGCGTATATAGTAAGGTGCTTCTAAAGGATTATCAGAATCCGCGTTACCACCAACTCCTGATTGAGTTGTGTTCGCTACTGCTCGTTTCCGTCGACTGACTGGATCAACTGGAAGATCAAATGAAATAAATTGGAGCATAAAAAACCAAAATACTACCGACCCGACCCGAAAAAACATCATATTGGCCCTGTATGTCCCCCTTTTTTATATTCAAATATTGTATGGATGTATAGTCTGCTAGATCGTTGGAATATTTACATGACCTTTTGTATTTTTTTTTGCATATCAGACACAGAAGAAAAAGTGTGATGATTAAAATTTCAAAATGACTACATACTACAAATTAAACTATCAATCTCCATTGGATGAATGAAAAACTTAATGGTGGCTTTACTTTCTGAAGTACACTCTTCAACTCTTTGTTCTGTGGGTAGTGGCGTTTCTACGGAGAGGAGCATGGTCCCCCAGAAAGGATACTTTATCAATATACAGCCTGTGGTCCCCCCCCCACCCCCCCTGGAAAATTTTGTGGCCCCTACTCGGCCCCTAAACTAATGATTCCTAGAAAAGCCACTGAGTATGTGGGTAATATCTGTTAGCTTTTAGAACCAATGGTTAACTCATTCTTTACATTATAGAGATAGCTCCTACCTTGGTAAGGTCTCAATCCAACAAAACCAGCACCCAATCGTTTTAAATCACCAGGTGCGATACATGCGTCATACTGTTCGGTCCAATCATCTACCTCATCACCAATAAATGCCTTATCATATTCAAAATCACTAGGAGGTACTATACTTCTCCAAAACATGTCGTATTTAATATCTAACCGAGTTGGTCGTACTGATAGGCAGACATATTCGTGTTTATAACGATATATAAACCTCCAGTAGAACATAAGCGATGCATCCTCATCAATGAACTTCGGATCAGCAACATAGACAAAGCTGGTATCCTGTGAGTGGGGATAACCAACTCTTGGTCTCTTCATTTTCAACAAAGGTGCATCTGGCTTTTTAACAGCGGCTCGAACTACCGGTTCTGTAAATATGGGCGAATTTTCTCCTTGTGTATAGATATTCTTTTTCACCAAAACTGTCTGAAAACGAAATGTACCTTTTACGTTAATGAAAATGGATTTCAACTACCAACGATCAGCGGCGGGGCCAAGTTTACGTCCGAGAGGGTGAAATACCCGAGGCTGCCCGAATTTCTAATCTAGTTATGAGATTTTTGCCCGAAAAACATGCCTTCGGGACTGCGAGGGCGCGGGTAACCCCTATTCATATGTGGAAGTACATCAACCATAAATGAAGTATTGTATATGTAAAGTGGTATCAGGTGTCTAGAAGAGTAAGCGTATTCTGCCTGATGTATTGGCGTGAAATGAGCTTTCCTTACTTATTAATTGAAAACTGGAACTATGGGAATTATACTGAAAGATATTTCAAGCGTTCTGCATTGTCGAGTTTCACTTGTATTGATGTTTTACTTTTGTAATGTGTCAATTGTCATTTGGGTGTATCTTCAAAAGGTGGTTGACCCAGGGGTTTATCAAGAAATTCCCCAAAAGGGGGGTGACCCCCAGAGCCATCCGTACTAGCGGTTTGACCCCCAGGGCTACCCGTACTACCAGATGGACCACCAGTACCACCAGTTTGACCCTCAGTACTACCAGTTTGAACATCAGTATTACCAGTTTGACTACCAGTTTGACCCTCAGTACTACCAGTTTGACCCTCAGTACTACCAGTTTGACCCTCAGTACTACCCGTAACACCTGTATGACTCTCAGTACTACCCGCAACACCAGTTTGACCCTCGGTAATACCAGTTTGATTGCCTAACATCAGTTGAGCTATTGTAGTCTTAGCTCTTTGTCTTGCCAGAATTTCTCTTATTGTTCCTTTTGTTAACTCTGATGCAAAGTTTCTATTTATAGTTTTAAAGGTGGTATTATCTGCTGTAGCTTTATCCATTATTTCAAAGGAGTTTTCCCATATTTTTTCACAAACTCTCTCTGTTTCCTTAGCCTGCAAAAGATTAAAGAAAAGTTCATACTATTAACAAGACGTTGTTTCTGCATTCAATGGTTATGCGGACGAAAACGTATTTTTACTGTGGTTCCTTCAGTTTCAAGACAAACAAAGTTTGACTAGACAAATGGTGACTATATCTAGAAATTTAAAGAATAACAAAAAATCTATTTTAGTAACCAATTCGATCAGACCGCTAAATTAATCAAGTTAAGTTTTTGCGACACTCTGATATTTCTTACATTTTCTATAAAACGATCAATATCTGCTGCTTTTCTTCTATTGATAAGTTTAGCGAAGTATTCCTGTTCGTAGGGATTAAAACCATCTCCTTCAGGATTCCAATCAGTATTGGAATAATCAACACCATTAGGCAGTTTTCCTGTCATATCTGGTCCACCTAAATCAATGACTTTATCTTGCAATGTATTTATTGCTGAAAGAAAATGCAAAATATAACGATCGGTGCTAAACGAAGCTGAACAAAAACCACATCAATCTCGTGAACTTTTAAGAAATGAAAATTACTTTATAAGCACAATTCCAAAATGTGTCACTACGAGTAGGGGCTTCTAACGATAATCACTTTTTTTCCATAATACTCTTAGTTCACCATTTGTTAGACCCACCGTTTAATTCAAAAAGTCTGAAAATGATTGCGATTCTGTAAGGACTACAAGAAAGTTTTGATGATTTCCTATATCTTCATGGGCAAAAAAAAAAACCACCAACCGTACGTAAATAATAACTTTCTAATTCTCGATATTCAAACCGAATATTACCAAATAATTGTCTATGGCTTATTGTAAACACATATGTATTAGGGCTCTATATACCTTCCATTGTCTTCAAAATGTCTTTAATTATAACAGAAGTTTCCAGTTTAGCAACCAAAGAATTACTGAGATCCTCGGCTGTATTTGAGATAGCACTCTGAAAAAACGATGTTATACATAATCACATCCTTGTAAAACCAGTATATATTACAAACCCTATGAAAACGCATATGCCTAGCAGACTGTGTAATCCGAAATCTATTAGGCTCTGAAAATGCCTCCGGATATGAGGATTGTCGTAAAACTCCCAAGTTTTTTTTAAATAAACTTCTGCCACTATTGTTACTACAGTATTTGGGACATTTGCTACACGATGTACTTGGAACATGTAGTTGAGTTTCATAGTAACTTACATAGAGTAATACGAAATTACATCAGATGGAATTGTAAAATAGAAAGAAGACACCCCTCCACGAATAACCACACCACGCCAAGCCACGCCACGCAACACACACCACGCTAAGCTACGCCTCGCCACGCCACGCCACGCCACACCACTTACCTGAGCTCTACCTGTAATGATTTCAGGATTGTCTATTAAAGAAGCTAGCGAGGAGGAAGCTATCAAAATATCATTTAGTGTTAATGGTGCTGTCCGTGTTGTTTTATTTACTGTATCAGTAAACAATAAAATTACACCTTCCATTACCTGCAAAAAAAAAACAGGTAAATTTCAATCATATTCAATTCACTAATGAAAATATAAGATTACTATTGGCCATTTGCAAACTCAACTTTAACGTCTATTAATATAACTTTGGGTACCACTGTTGTACTTCTGCAATTTTCAAATACGACCCCTCCCTTTAAGTGGCCTTTTTATGATGGGGCCAAGTAGGGGCAACAGAATTATCATTGGCTCACGGCCAATTCGTTCACTATGTTAAAGAAAGGAAACTTGAAAGTAGGTCCAGCCTCTATTTTCTGCCGCCACAAGAAGCCCCATCCCCTAAAAAACCTCACTGCTCCCTTACAAACTGATATGTTGTACTATACAACAACAATACAACGGTGCAGTGTACACAAGTTTTTTTGTTTATACATCGATAAACTGAAAAAATGTTCAGGTCATTCCTTAAATATTTGGGCTAAATTTGTCATATATGAGGAAGTATACCATATGATTAATATAGTAAAAGTTAAATCTAAATTCTTACATTTTGGAGTCTTTGTTTTTTCGGATCTATAATCCTCAGTGAGTCAACGATGGTTTGTCTCGCTGTTATAGAATCATTCGATTGAATCAAACCAAAATCCTCTATTGGTGACTGTTCTAATGGCTAAAAATATTAATTAAATGTGACACGTTTCAAATCAACTGGAAAAGAAAATGTCTCTAAGAAAAAAAAAAATGTTTATATGACTTTGCTAATGAAGTATAAAGCAAAACGAAAAACATTCAAATGAGCCCAGGGGAATAAAACAAACTCAAAAAGATACACAAAAACAGTGAAAAGCATTTAACGAATTGATCAAAGTGCTGAAGGATTATAGTTGACAACACGAAAAGCTAAAGGGGTTGTGAAGAGGTTTTCTAAAAACAAAATTGTGTATCGGGACACAAATAACACGAATTTGTACCAGTCCAATTTTCAGTCAGACGTCTGCTCTGCTAAAGATTGTAACGATGTTTCTTAAATGGTTTATGTGTATTTGTGCGCCATTCCAATTTTCGATTAGATGTCTGTGATTCCTGCAATTCCACAAAAAGACGTGTTTGATGACGTCACCCATCGCAAAATATGCTTTATGACATAAAGCCCTTCGCAATTAGTGACGCCATCAAACACTTAGTTTTAGTGGAATTGCAAGAACAACAGATATCTGATTGAAAATTGGAATGTTACAAATTGATGCTATCTGTTGTTTTTATCGGTACAAATAAAATGTAACTATGTTGCAATTACCCTGTCTTATAATCATTGTACTTACAATTGTATTGAGAACTGCGCCATATGTTGAAGCAGTCATAATACCGATTAAAAAACTATCATAATTCAATGTAACGTTTATATCTTGTTCAATCCTTTGGTAGAATTCCTCTAGAATTTCATCTGTCGTAATATCAGTACTATTTGTTTCGTTTCTTGCCTTTGATAAATAATAATCTAAAGGTGCTTGTACCTACAATAATAAAAGCCAAAAAACCTTAATTTGTAATGTGGTTGGAGCAGAAACAGAAATATTAAATTGTTTTATATTCATAGAAAAACAACAATACTAAAAGAACACGACGTTTATCAGACAACGGTATTTTGATCTCTAGACATGAAAAACGGATATAATCAATACAAAGACACAAAAATAAACCTCCCGTTTTAAGATTTCGTGGCGTTACAGACTGTGTATGTAAGTAAAAATTTAGTAAGTAATGTAGTTTGGACTTTGATTATATGAGCAGAAACAAAAATATTAAAACACGACGTTTAAAGTGAAAACGGTATATTTGTTCTCATGGAATGCCAAGTAACAAATTACAACTCGGATAGTAGCGTTTCAATAAAGATTCTGCTTTGTAAAAGCAAGCTTGGTTTTGACACCTTCATGAACTTTCTTTTATTTCATGATTTTAGTTTCACTTTGCTGTCAAATACAATAAATAAAGTACACCTATAAAAACACTTACATTTACTATAAATTTTTCATTGGCTTCACTTCTCACAAAATCCATTATTTTAACGACCACCTCACAATCATAACTATCTCGTTCGTCACAGGGTTGTAGAAAGAAGGGTGGAGTACTCCTTTCACCTTAAAAACAAATTCAATGTAAATTCCTAAATAAATTTCAATATATGTACGAATAGCAGCTAGATAAACCCTTAAGAAATTTGGTTTTGTAAAGGGGAAGCATACACTGCTTGCGATTTGGAGGGATTTGAGTAGCCATACGTTTCAAAATTGCTGATAAATTTGCAGAACCATGACACTTAGTGTGTAAATGAATTTCCATCTTACATTCCAGATGAGAATAGCATAAGAAATTAACTCGGTTCGTTCTGCATGCGAGTATTTTGTTCCAACAGTGGGTCGATAAACTGGTTGCTATTTGGAGGGAGTGTCGGTACATAATCTCCTGATAAATGTGTGAAAATCATATAAATGAGTGATTGAATGAATTTCCATCTTCCATTGCATCTGAGAATATCTAACAACATAAATTCGTTATTAACGTTCGGTTCGTTAAACAAGAGATCGGTTTTCTTGTATATTGTTACAATGTTCAACCCAGGGCCATGAGACAGTTGCGTTTCTAGGAAACATTTGTTGAGCGGCCGGTCAGGGGCTACAAAATATTCCAGGGGGACCACAGGTCATTCTTTCAAAATGATAAAAAAAAAAAAGATTGAGGGAGTGTCGCTCTATAATTAGCGGAATGAAGACAATGAGTCAAAAGCTATCCCGGGTAACTGTACACATAACCTCTTTAATTATTAATACCACTGAAAGACAAAGTTAATGTTACACTTACTGCCTTCGTAAACAACAAAAGTCCCCAGTCTGGTGAACTGTTCCACTCTGTACACTACTGGTTCACCTCCATCAATTAATGCATCTCTATCTCTTCGAAACGATTCATCCATCCAACCATCACAAGTTACTTGAAACTTAGTTACAGTTGCAAATCCTTCATAATATAATGAAAAGAAAATAAGACACGTGTTGTATTTGCCTATAAAAGTGTGCTGTATTTTCTTATTAAGGTCTTGTATTTGTCTGGCAAAGAATGTTGTATTTACGTAATAAGACGTTGTATTTACCTGTGAAAGGGTTTGTATGTATCTGTAATGGTGTTGTATTTACCTGTAAAGGGGTGTTGTATTGATCGGTAAAATGTTTTATTTACATGTGAAGCGGTGTTATATTTACATGTAGATTTGTTTTATCTGTTAAGGAGTGTTGTATTTACATATTAAGATGTTGTATTTAATCAGACGTTGTAATTATATCTTAAGGACTTTTGTAATTATCTGTAAATGTGATGTATTTCCCCATTAAGAGGTGTTGTATTTACCTCTTACGATGTTGTATTTGTCTGACAAAAAGTGTAACATATACATGTAAATGTACACTTATATATGTTAATCGATGAAGGTGATGTAAAGTGTTATTTTTATTTGTGAATCATGTTGTATTTACATGGAAATTTTTTGTATTTACATTATAAATAAGTTGTATTTTTATATAAATGAGTTGTATTTACATATAAAAAGGCGGCAATTACATGTATTAATATATGTGGCGTATTTACATATAAACGGGTTGTATTTACATATAAATGAGTTGTATTTACATATTAAATGTGTATTTTTGTATTTATATATAAATGTGATGTATTTACTTGTAAATGTGATGTAAATTTGTTGTATTTACATAGAGTTTTGTATTCACCTGTTAACGTGTTGAATTCACAAACTCCACCATAGGGCCTATAATTAACATCAAATCGTATGGTTGTTTTTGTAGGGTCTTTTCCTGGAATAGTAGCTTCTAGTTCCACAGCATAACTTGCACCTTCTTCAAACAGAAATGGTTTAGCATTGAATTCTCTATCACTTTGAACTGAAATTAAATTTGAAAATAATAAACTACATTCCCTTATTGAGAATTGATATAATTGTTAGTGAGTTTCCGCAAAGTATCATTCACGCATGTCAGATACTGAAACTAAAAGTAGCAACAGTCAATAACAAAACGAGATCCTCAACTATAAAAGAAACATGAAAATAGGCCAAAAGAATTAAAGGGGAACAATTGGCATTTTCGGTGATTGATTTGGGTCTTTATTGTGGTTTAATAGTTTTAATAAGGACTAAAACGCACGAAAATCGCATAATCCCTTCAAATATACCTCAAACTAGAAATTTCACTATATATGTGTTTTTTTATATATGGTATTGTCTCACTAAAATTCGAGTGAATAATTATGGACACACGTGGATTTGAATTCTAAAATAGAGCTATGAACACTATTACTGATCATGTAAGCTAAAAAAAATTCTGTTTCTGAAACTAAAGTATGATTGGTCGAACGGATATTGGAGGTGCTCATGAAGTTGTGAAGAGGATCTCAAAGGTGCACCATAAACGAATTTCATTCAACAAACCGTGATGCTTTATCACAAACTGGAAAGGAGTCGTATGTATTAAATTGCAAAAAGGGAACGTCACACAAGAAAGGAACATAATGTACATGTATTGCTAAATCATCAGGAAATTCTGTGTTGCAACAGCTACTCAATTTTTTGTTGTTGATTTTTTGAATTAAATGACTTCCATTCAATAAAACGATGTTCCACCATAAGTTGACCACTAAATCGTAAATGTTAAATTGCGAAAACGGAACCCTACACTATACTTCACTCAGGAAAGGACCATGTTTAAGATGTAAGCCAATAATCATAATAGAAATCAGTAGAACCCCAGCTACTCAACTTAACAGTTCAGTGGTAATAACTGTAGTATAAATTATAAATGACTTTATGTCGGAAAGAAAATAAAATGATAATCACTTAAACTAATGAACGAAAAAAAAAAGAAAGAAAGAACACAATGGAAATCCATTTAGCAGTTAAGTGGCAATAAATACAAGATGGATTTTTTAAATTTTATGTGGGAATTAAAAGCTTAGAAAGGATAATCATCTGTACTTTTTTCTAAACAGAAAAAAACCCACAAAATGGAGATCCATATTACTCCACTCCCACTATGAAATTAAGTGGGATAAACTGCAAAGTGTACGGCTCGTAGCCAGAATTGATTATTGAGGGGGGCAAGTAATGTATTCGGAGGGTCGTGGTGGTTGTCGTTGCTCAGCAGGGGGGAAAGAAAGATCTGATAATTACCTGTACTAATATACGATGATATATCGACCCAGTTTAATAAATCATCTTGACCAGTAATAACATTATATTTATAAACTGACCAGCTGTAAGTAACACTATTCAATTGTTCAGGAGAACATGACGGGCAGGTGATGGATGAATGGAAATAGGTTATATCATCAGATAGAACTTTCTGTAGACAGTTTAACTGGCAGCTGAAAAACGCAAACTCAAGATAAAACGGATGTAACTTGGTTGTGAACTGAAGTGATTGGCTTCCATATTTTGTGGAAAAATTACATTTCAATCAGCTTTATTTTATTTCGGCATCTTATTTTAGTGGGGTTAAAATTTGCTTTCTAACGGCGTTAACGTCTATACGTCTCCATAACGCTGGGTGGGAACACTGACTCTTGGTAACAGTCGGTAACAAGTTGGCTTGTTACCTGCTGGTCAACTAGGTACCATGGGTAAGAATAATCCTCATAGTAAAGTAAAAATTCTGCTGCCACGACCCACTCAGAGTCATTAATGATGAAAATGAACCTTCATTGCCACAATGAGCCATTTTTGGAACCATGGTCGAAAGCCGTAAATCTCTATTTCTGCCAATGTTGCAAAGAGGATTGGAAGAGCTGAAATTCGTGTCGACGGGTGTATTTAATGAATATATGGCTCTTGCTATGGAATAAAATTGGCGTCGGTCTCAATCGTAGCTTACCTTATTCCTAATAAGGGAGTATCTGCATTACTGAAGTATAAAACCTGGATATCAGTTACTCGTCTTACATCTTTAGTTACCTCTAGCTCTACAAGGTACCACGAATTGGGTTGAACACCGGCGGTGTCGATACCATTTATTATACTCTGTGATGGTAGAGTGAAGCCACAAGGCGGTGCTGAACGATATGATGTATCATTACTATAGGGTGCTGTATATGAATCTACCGCAGCACTGTCAGCTATACGATAACAGTTCCATGAGAACCGCAAATCAGGATCCTCTATACCATGACCAATTTTCGGGTCGAATGAACTCAATTTAGCGTCAAAATTTACTGGTATCCCTATGCTTACTTCCCTCTTGGAACCGAACTCAATGTTTCCAACCAGGGGGGGATCTATCAGTTGAAGAAACATGACATCTGTGATATAATCGTCTGGGTATTCAGGGAAAAAAACCGTAAGTTCGAGACGATATATACCAGGTTCAGAGGTGAAGTCCAGCACAGTAAAACTAATAGAATTTGGATGTGAAATAGCTATATCTTGTAAGGTCGAAGTTGATTGGTTGAATCTTTGTAATTTCCACGTATATCGGATGTTATCTGTCCTGTTTTTACAGACATCTGTGATGGTAGATCTTCCAGTAATGGTCTGTGGATTAGATGAATAGATCTTCAAGGCCGTAGACACACTGGCGTAGACTCGATCAAACATTCTGGACGAATCAAAACAGACACTGAAGACTAAGTATACAGCTTGTAAGGTCTGTTCTGATAGATAGTTAGAGCAGGTAACCAAGAGGTTCTTTTCACCAAGATCGCTATATTCAATGACTGTCTGTATTGTATCAGTACTGTTGTCCAACAGATCTCCAATAACAGTTATCCCAGCGTCGGTATAGTTGAAATAACATGATATATTCCTCACTGGATACGTTGTATTGCCCATACTGATTATGGGAGCTATAGTGTCAGCGAATGTGTACCTATCTTCAGTGGATATTTCCAGTCCTTGGATCTTATTTTCAATATAAATCGTATCATTCAAATCCAGTATCTCTATGCCTCGAACAGAAGAAAAAGTAATCACAGGTGTAAATATACCAGCTTTGATGAATACGTGAGATTCGGTTGTGGGAGCTCCGGTACTAATAACTGGGTTAGATTGGGGTGGAATAGTAGTTGCTGTATATGAACGGCTAGTATCTGGGGATCCATCACCCCAATCGATGCTTATACTATGATCGTCCGATAAAAGATGGCGTTTTACCGTGAAATCTATACTAGTCGTATCCGTTTGACCAATTCTACTGGATATTAAAATAAATTCCACAGTTCCCGATCGTATATATTTTCTCTCCGTACGCTGTCCACTATAGTATTCAAAGTATATCGTTAGTAAATTATTGCCCCTGACACTGTAGACATGGGAATCATTCAGTCTGGTCATCTCGGTGTATTTCATGGTTTCGGTGGATTCCCAGGTTATTCCGTACGTCAGGTTTACTGGTGGGATGGTAAAGTTAAATATATTGTATTGTATATCAAATGTTATAGGGTCAGAATTGTTCATGAGAAGAAATTCATAGTGAGTTATCTCGATCAAGGTAACGTTCATAAGTTTGGTTTCCACTTCCGCAAACATCAATTCGGAGCTAACCCTATTTTCACATTCGAAAGATACATTCATTGATCCTTCAGTGGTAAATACATACGGCACAACAATAGCCAGTCCGGTAGCGTCATAATTTAGTAGACAACAATTTGTTATGGTTATAGTTACTCCATCACCGAATTCATACGTACAGGTAACATTCGTAGGCGTTATTTCAGCAGCTCCACTGTCGGAATACACCGAGAACTTTGCTAGCCCTGGTGGTACCAATAGCAAGTCGGTAATATCAACTTGTAAATTAGACGGTGGTATTGCATATTCAAATATTACAGCTGTTGACATTGATTTGGAGTAAGCATGATTACTTGCACTGAAGCTGACTATGTAAGTTCCTGAAGTGTTGTAATTCAAGACCGGAATTGTAATATCTGTGTAGCGTGTTCTCAGATGTTCTATGCCATTATTCTCTAAAATTGTCCCCTCACCAAAATCGATAACATAATCGAAATTAAAAACAGGTGGATTAGTGTAGTTGAATGACGGCAAGTTTCCTACTGCAAAGGCTTCTGCAGACGGTTGAAATGTAAATAGGGTTAAGTTATCCCAAACTCGGAAGTCCCGTCTGTACAGTTCTAATCGATCTAACGGTGACATGATTGTTACAACTATAGTATGATTCCCGACTTCGTCCATAGTGCAATTTATTGTTTGAATTCCGTCTTGTGTTAAAGTGAATGTTTCATTCGTCACATTAGCCCCACATTCAATCATTAATTCCGTCTTCCCAAACGGGAAGGATGTCCCAGATGCTATTACATCAAAAAGCAACACCGAATCCGGTTCTACCAGTAGAGGAGTTGATTTATCATCGAAATGAATGTTATTTATAGGGTAAACAGTTTCAATACTTAAAAATGAGCTCTGATTATTCACCATATTTGATGCTTCAACTGATAAATTAAAAACGCCTATCGTAGCATATGTGTGTGTTAATTTATAAGCTGAAATGGGACCACCGCATGTCTCCGATACTGAAATTGAATCACCATAATCTACTCCAAATATGACTTCTATATCTGATTGGATCTCCACAGTGACCGTCACCACTTGGTCCAGATAGATGAATAGTGTTTCCGATTCTATTTTTCCTGGACCAACCAATACCTTTTCTATCATGGTACCATTTTGATCTAAGTTAATCTTAATACTAGACATGACAGGGGCCTGGGTGTCATCTTCAGTTAACGCCACGATCTGGTTACTGTCCAAAATACTGCCCATATCGATTTCAGATCCATTGGAGAGTATTATGGCCAAGTTGGAAATTATACCAGCGTAGTTTGTATCTAGCATAGAGATACAAGAAACACAACCGTCAGAATCAAATTTAAAACTTCCATCTCCAGCAACTCTAACTCTTAATAAGCCTGAAAAAGCAAAGAACAAATAACATTCACAACTAACAATGTCACCGAAGAGGTTTCTGTCCAACGCAATTGCTAATGAATCCTTACGGTTTAACGCAATGAATCCTTACGGTTTAACGCAATGAATCCTTACGGTTTAACGCAATGAATCTTGTGTCTTGATTGAAAGAAATTTTAAAGAGGTTTACTTAATTTTTATGTCACACAAAAGCATCAATTTGCCCCATTCCAATTTTCACTCAGACATCCGTGGTTCCTGCAATTCCACTAAAACTAAGTGTTTGATGACTTCACTTCACTTAACTTAACTAATATTTTACGATTTTTGGGAATTGCAAGGACTACAGAAGTGGCTGTAAATTAGATTGGTGCAAATTGACTTTCACTGTAACCCTAATCTTTTTTGGCAGTGATATACCTCAGTCGGCAACGAATTTGAGTGTCGTTTGCTGGGCGATTAGTGCCATGGGTTCGAATCCTTCTCAATGTAAGAAAAATTCTGATGCCTGTGCCAGTGCTTCCGAGAGTCGGCTCTCACCCCTCATAATTTTCCCGGATTACCATGCAGATTGAAATGATAATACAAACTGATATACCGAGCACTGAGTTATATTTACTACGACTTACATCCCATTCAAACCAAGTTTGGTCATACGTTAGGAAGAAGAGCGTCGGATATCGCTTTTACATTGGACCCTACTGGAATTTTCGTCTGATATTCGAGTAGAATGGTAAAAAAATACACTTTGATAATAACATTACATTTTGAAATAAAAATATTTTTGACTTAAAAAACGGGTACTGGCAATTCAAATAAATTGCAATAATTACAAGTGTTTTGAAAATATTTACAGTGGCGTTTCTAGGAAACATTAGTTCACGGGGCCACAAAATTTTCCAGGGGGTTGGGGAGACAGGCTATTCTGTTATAATGTAAAATGCTGATAAAAATTTTAATTGGAAGGGGGGGGGGCAGCCCTTTTCTGGAGGGAGGGAAGGGGAGCAGCTCCTTTCTTAACAAGTACATACAAGAGAGGTAAATATTAAACAGCTTACCCAAGAGCAGAAGAAAATAACAAATTATATCCATTTTTGAAACTTTCCTCATATTACATCTTTCAGGTTAGAAATACTCTTAAACAGTGAGGCAATCCTCTTAACTAGAAAAATTAAAGAGATGACAATGATGAATATTTAATAGAAATTTGTTTGCGTTGCATATATTACTGGAAACAATAGAAAATCTCGAGAGAAATGTAGTCAAGATGAAACTTCTAGGTCGGTAAACGCATCAGTAGAAATGTTCATTAATTATAAACTAACATCCTTAGTGTGTTTGTCATTTCAAAAAACGTCTTCAGAACTCAATACCCAAGATAAGAAACGAACTGTCCGTTGAGATTTCTATGCTTGATTAGATTACAACACTCCCCTCCTCCACCATTATACTTTAAATAACTGCTCTGTAAAGCGGTTTCTAAAAGATTTATGTGAATCGTTGCACCATTCCTATTTTCGATTAAATGTCTGTAGTTCTTGCAATTCCATATAAACTATGGGTTGGTGGTTGGGGGCATATGCCCCCTAGAAAAATGGTTTGCACTTTTCAACAAATCTAAATGTCTAACCTTTTTCTCCAAAAAATGTGTCAGAATGCACAAACTTAATTCATATGAGCTGAAATTTAGACAGGACCATGAATATTGGACCTGATTCTGACCAATGTAAAATAAAGGGTTAATTATCAATACTGAAGCCGAATCAACCGTGACCAGAATTCGGATTAATACACTAACGATTTTGTTACGTCAAATCTGACTGAACTATGCTTCACAATGTCAAGCTATTACGAGTTCTAATACTTTGACATATATCAGCAAGTTTGAATGCAGCTTATTTATTGGGTTGTTCGCTAGCGAATACGACCAATGAGAGCCCTCGTTACATGCACACACGTCCTGTCAAGACTCTGAATGACAGTGTACAATCCAATCAAATTCTTTCTAGCACTATCTTATTAACTTCTATGATACAAGAAAAGTGCCTTATGGTATTAGATATTAGGAGGGTAAATACCTTCGCTTATTCTAATTCGAAAATCTAGGGGTGTCTGGTTTTTCCCAGTCGATTGCAAACTATTCTGAGGGGACTACCTTACCCATGACCGAAACATCTTCCTCTATTATAGTTTCTGATAGCTATTTTGAAAGCTGTCGAGCTGGAATAGAGGCAGATGTTGCGGACTAATATTACCCATGACACCAGCCACAACCCCTCGCAGCCCCAAAGGTAAGTTTTTAGGGCAAAAACCTGTTAACTAGGCTAGAAATTCTCAGATATTTTACCCACCCCCCATAACCATTGATATTCTGCTGGTAATTTAGCTAATTTTGAATTAATTATGGACATGTGAGACACACTAGCATTTTTCGAAGCTAATAGAACACCTCTACTTTCTATTCATATAAGTATTAGCATTATAATTTCATAAAGAAAAAATAAGGGAACCCATCTTTAAGGTACATATAAAACGATTTTCCATGGTGGCATGGCCACGACATAGTATGTCACAGAGAACCGGTTATTGATAACATTGATAATATTCGGTTATTGGTTGAGGCTTATTAGACGTCACTCTTTGACAAACTCTATTCAATAATTCAGAGCTGTTGAACATTCCTTAGATACTTAAAAGAAATGACAATGAACTACATCGAAATTTCATAATTGTCAGAGGTCATCGATCCATAACTGTAAATTAGCTATTATTAGACTATGTGAAGATATTGGTTAGGTTAAGGATGAAACAGAATGAACAGAGTGGTGTCAGAGAGAGATCTATGTGAAAGAATTCCACCACTCTATAATTACTTCCTACCTTTTTGTCCATAACTCTGCATCCCTTAGAAATGAATTTCAAAGAAAGAATTCCACCGCTCTATACGCACTTCCTACCTTTTAGTCCATTAAAAATGAATTTCAAAGGAAGAATCCCCATCCTCGCTCACTTCGTACCTTTTTGTCTGTAACTCTGTATGCTTTGAAAGAGGATATCCATGGGAGACCTCCCTCCCGCCCCCCTCTACTCACTTCCTACCCTACCCTCTGTAACTCTGTATCCCTTAAAAGTGAACTTCAAAGGAAGAATCTCCACCCTCTACTCACTTCCTACCCTACCCTCTGTAATTCTGTATGCTTTAAAAGTGAATATCAAAGGGAGAAACCATCACCACCAACCGAACCGCAATTCATAAAAAAGTTTTCCACGGGCTGACAAAACAAACTCACTTCATTGAGCACGAGTACGTTGTTAAATCTTCAAGGACACGATTGGGATTGTCTATGGGATGCTCTTGTTGCTCTGCCAATGTTCCAGTCACAATTTACATGCTGGTTGGACACGAAAAGATGACAGCACTATTTAGAATCTGTTGATTTTACTGAATAAAAACCACGATTTCGGAAATCGGCTATGGAAGAATGCGTGTGAATGAATTTCAATGCTGTTATATGGTGCATTGACGCATCATTTACCAATTAACTCTTTTTGTAAATCGTAGAGGAGGCCTCAGCTGGTGTGGGAAAAACATTCCGATTTTGAAAAGGCTTTTTTTTATCTTTTTATGTGTATCAGGGACACTGATAGCACCCATTTGAACCATTCAAATTTTCAGTCAGACGCCTGTGGGTCTTGCAATTATACTTTAACTATTCGTTTGATGACGTCACTTTCTCAAAATTTCTTATATATATTATCAGCAAGATCTACAAACATCTTTCTGAAAATTGAAATGGTGCAAATCGATACTTTCAGTGTTCCCGATACACATGAACAATTTAGAAAAGCTCTATACAAATAATCAACTAATGTTCCGTTTATTTGTGTTTAGCCAGTCGAATAATAATAATGCTCTGCTCTTGAAACGTTATGCGTTCAATAGCTGTGTTTAAAATTCTGGGTCAACGTCTTTTGAATTACCAAAACTATTGCTTTCAGTTTTCCGAGGACCAATTATCTTGAATTGCTGACCCATTTCATCTTCAACTCACGTTTATTTTGGATAAAGTACATGGTGTAGAATTCGTTGACCTATATTTAAATGGGTTATTATAAGCTTACAAAATTCTCCTGTTTGGTGGATGAAGTATCCCATATTCTATTTCTCTTTGATTTGGAAGATCTTCTAGGTATTGTTGCTCAATTCTGACTCCTACGGCAATGACAGTTTTCTGTGGTCAGATTTCCCAAATCCTTTCAAGCCAACAAAATTGAAAATTGCTTCTGAAACGAAAAGATGACTAAGATGCATCATCACGGGCCATAACTCAAGAAATTTTACCTTTACACGATGTCGTTTTCGCCGCCGAATTTTTTCCGGCGCCACATGTCTGATTTCATCTTCATTCAAACAAAAGTATACTATAGTATCTACATAACATAAATGTGAGTGGGATTAGGGGCCAGATCACACCCACAATAGGTTAAGAGACCCCTCTTTTATTACAGCCTCTATATAACATATCATTATTACACTCATGGTAGTTCTTAAAGTTGAAAGTTACTCGTAGAAAGTATGCTTTATTTGACTAAAATCGATTGTTAGTTTTTCAAGTTTTTTTCAAGAACGACCATCGTGAAATTTATTAACAGACGTTCTGTCGAGGACCCAGATAGACTATATTCGATAACTTACAATCCCATCTCTATCTGCAAAATTCTGTGATATAAAGTGGCCAGTTTAGTCAAGGTAGTCAGTACTCGAGACGTATAGAACAAGTGTCCCGTTTCGCAAGAGATTTAACAACTTCAATCAATCAATATATCCGGAGGGGCAATGGGGAATGGTCTTTAGTTGGAGTAATGAAATTGGATGGTTCTCAGACCCCCCCCCCCCCCCCCCTTCCTGTAGTTACGGGTCTGCTCAGTGCTCTAGAATGATTCAATTGGTAAGATTATTTGTTTCTAAATGTAAGTAGATACGAACATCAACTGGATTGGGATTCAACGAGTACCAGATTAACTGAATTAAAAACAAAACTATTAGAAAATGAGTAAGTGAATTTTAAATACTACTACAAAATGTTATCATTAAGGTTAATGTGTAGCCTACTTGATCTGTTCAAAGAGCACAAAATTTAAAAATATAATAAAATATCTTTCTTTGTCTGATAAGTATTTTATTTATCAGCAGTTTTGTCATGGCGACCTAACAATAAGTCAATGCACTATAAAGTGAATAAATTACAACATTTGCAAAGAACAGAAAGTATAATTAAGGAACATTTTTTTCAGTTTATCGATGCATAAACAGAAAAAAACCTGTGTACAGTGTATAAATCCACATAACGGGGCTTACATTTACATTTTGTTTACACATGCATCACACCGCTGTTATCCAATCAAATAGCGTGATACCGTGTAAACGGTACAATATAATACACTCCTATAAATATATATAATATAATATAATATATCCAACTAACTGCGTGGTAAAATGGTAGATTTTTTAAAATGATGGTGAATATGACATGAAATCTTTATTGGATCTTTATCGAGCACAGCCTGTAACACAGGAAGATTCAGTTCGGTCTAATTAGAACGGCTTTTTCCATGTCAGCCCCTCCGACCATACGAAACGTTTGGTTCTCACATGGAAGTAACAACCATTTTGAAGCTGCGGTCACATCTTACGGTCACGTACGTGATATATCAAGTTCACCTAGGCACAATCCAGGTTTGAGAAAAAATATCATAATAAATAGATCTCACACCATATAATTATTTAATTTTAATAAATCATATCATCCTGGAATACTATGGAACTTCAGATTTATTGGTTTTTCTGTTTCGGTTACTAGTCACGTGCACTAGTCAACAATGGCCGTTCATTGATGCTTGACGGCCAGGCTATTTTTAGACGGGAAACTCCCGGATGTGACGTCAGCTCAAATCCTCCTTGTTAAATGTTATGTAAAAATGCTAAGATGTAATCAAATAATTGAGTTGAACTAGCTAAACTTCTTTATTCATTCAAAACAAAATAGTTCTGCAGTTGACCCAATTCTCTCATAAGAGACCAACTCCAGTAAGACACCATTTTTGATTATTCCCTTGAGTGGTCTCTCAATACAGTTTTTACTGTACGTGCCACTGTCAAATAAGTTGAAGCAGGGTGAAGTAGGTTGAAAATTGGCAAAAGAGAAAATTTAAAGAAAATTTAAGTAGGTTGAACCACGTGTAAATACGACCAATTGCATTAAACTGCCTTGAAGTAGTCTTACGTTCAAAAAGGCTAGGGTTAACTTGGTAGGCTATAAATACGTCTTACTACGTATGAACTACGTTCGAAGTGAAAGTATATACAACTACGTGTCTGATCGTAAGATGTGACCGCGGCTTAATATGTTGAATATGTGAAAGAACCACACGTAGTTTCGTATTACCATCCGACCTACATTAAAGACAGAGAGAGGTGGGGGGTCGAAAGCGACAGGTGGCCTTCTGAGCGCCCCGGCGTTCCTATGCGGATTTTAGATGGCAAAAGTCATGGTAGCTCTGCCTTGAAAATTTTTGGGAAGCCAGAGAATACATCTAACTCAATTTTGTCAGTGAAAGAATAAATTTTTCATTTGTTCTGAACTGGAGAGTGTTGAGGAAGAGGGAGGGGGTGGGCCGCATGGCCGAACAGTACCGCCTTAATACCCTAAATTAAGTCTATTGTTAACCAACACATAGTTCGTGTTTCATAATTTCAATAGTTAATAGTAATGTAAGGTCAGTCCAGATTTAGGTTGATAAAAAAATAACATTTTTAAAGGGATATTGTTGACTAATTTTTCACTAACAGAATTGATTCAGTTGCCTGTACGCCTCTCACAATGAAAACATTACGAGTTCGTCTACAATCTAATACAAAATGACACTAACCGAAGTCATATATAGTTTCGGGCCTATTTCCTGCTGGAGGAAAAAGGCAAGGACTTGCAAATTCAGGTGACATCACTTCCATCGTTAAGAAATGTTCATTGCAGACGAACGGGGTGTGAGATTATAGCAATTGCAGTTTAATGGATAGGGCCTAGATGGTAAAAATCAAACAACGAAACCGTATGTCTGCTGGCCGCGTCAAGGGGTTGGTGAAGAATAGAGGTAATTGTGGTTGAAATTAGTTGGGGGAGGCGGATTTGGTGACTGATCATTGATGAGTCAAGCTGAGAACAGGTGGCAGTTGGTACAAGTTTGACTGTATAAGTTCTTCAAAGGGGGTGGGGGGAGTCATTTGGCCAACACTCCCATCCGCTTAACCCCTCTATTTTTGAAGGGCAGTTAAGCTCTTCAAGCTCAAATGCATCATTGGACTTAAGGGGCTTCGACCTTTCGGGCCTCGCTTCACAGAGACACTGAATTTCTTATAGCTTGTAAAGTGAATAAATAGACGCCTACATCCCTTTAAAATATTACAAGTGACTCTTTATTCTGATGTTATTCATGTCATATCTTATATTTTAAACAACTGGGGTGAATACTCGTGTCTCATTCACAAAAAGTACTCAATCTTTACGAGGGCTGGTGAGACATATATTTGTGGACATTTTTCAATTTAAATTGTACTCTATTTCTTTTAATTCACCAAAATGACAGAAAGGAAATACAGTTTTGAAACGGGAGAGAAGAATTCGTTCAGTATTGTAGACTATGTTATATTTGCTGCCACCTTACTCATTTCGGCAGCCATTGGAATTTATTATGCAGTAAAAGACAGAAAAAAGCAAAATGTGAAAGAATTTTTACTGGCGGGTGGCAAGATGCCTATACCTCCAGTCGCACTGTCACTTTTAGCTACTTTCATGTCAGCTATAACATTATTAGGAACACCAGCTGAGATGTATAACTATACAACTGTATATTTGTATATAGGATTTGGATATATTATAACTATGGCACTTACAGCCCATATCTATATTCCTATTTTCTATAATCTCAAGGTTACCAGCTGCTTCGAGGTAAGGACATATCATTATCATGCAACAATGCAACTACATTGGACAACAATAGCTTGAAATTTTTAATTTGTCTGCACCGTCGTCTTCAGACACTGGTGTAATTCGTCGAACCGTTATCCGGCAAGAAACTACATTAGCATATCTTTATTGAACAACAATCAAAGCAAAGCTCGAAAATTTGTCTGCACTGTCGTCATCAGACACTGGTGTAATTCGTAGAACCGTTATCCGGCAAGAAACTACATTTGCATATCTTTATTGAACAACAATCAAAGCGAAGCCCAAAAATTTGTCTGCACCGTCGTCGTCAGACACTAGTGTAATTCGTCGAACCGTTATGCGACAAGAAACTACATTGTAATAACTTGATTGAACAACAATCAAAGCATAGTTCGTCTGGTGTAACCAGAACCGTTACCAGGCAACAAACTACATTGTTATATCTGTAATGATAAATAAGCACAGATGGGATCTTTCGATTTGTCTTCACCGTCGTCTTCAGACACTGGGGTAATTCGTCGAACATTGTTATATCTCTAATGATAAACAATCATTGCTCAAATGTTTCTGTCTGCACCGTCGTCTGGTGACATTACATCTTCACAGTGTCAATCTATTACGAACTGCTTCTTATACCTTAACTGCAACAGTCAACTTTCTTACATCAGTTTGTAAGTTTGTAAATATGGCAATTTGATTGGATTGTCCGTTAGCGAATACAGCCAAGCAGAGCTCTCAACAGGAAGCCTGCAAACCACACGGCTTATTGTTTACAACCTTTCTATTGCGGGCTTTATTGGCTTTTTTCACGGGCGTATGATCCAATCAAATCGCTGCATTCCATATTATAAAATTGCAGTCAAGGTCAAAGAAATAGCTTGACAATGTGAAGATGGTCCCACTGGGACATGTCGTAACTTGATTGAAAAATATAAAAGCTGGAATTTTTCAATATGTCGGCACCGTCGTTTCCAGACATTATGGTAATTCTTCGAACCGTTACAAGACATCAGACTACATGTGCATTTAATATTTATTAGACAGATAGAAGTAGGACGGTTAACATAAAGAACACAAAGACATATGTATACTGCATTGACACGATTTCTTTAGCATAGCTAGAATCACCTCGAGACAATAGGGTAATTCGTCGAACCGTGAAAAGGCAAGAAACTACATTTGCATAACTTTATTGAACACCCATCAAAGCACAACCCGAAAATTTGTCTGCACTGTCGTCTTCAGACACTGGTGAATTTCTTTCGAACCGTTATCGGACAAGAAACTACATTGGCATAACTTTATTAAACAAAAATCAAAGCATAGCTCGACAGATTATCTGCACCGACGTCTTCAGACACTGCAGGTGTAATTCGTCGAACCGTTATCAGACAAGAAATTGCATTGGCAATACTTTATTGAACAATGATTAAAGCTAGAATTTTTCAATTTGACTGCATCCTCGTTTTTCAGACTCTGGAGCAATGTATGGAACCATGCATAAAACATTCAGAATCACCATCTTTGTTGTGAAATATATCAATATATTGCAGCTACAATCAGTAAATGGCATCAAAGACTTCATCTTACAACTAATATGATGTGGTTATTTTTTCTTTTCTGAAAGTCTCATTTAAAGATACTGATAAGAGGTTTTTTGGCATGGTTTAAGTCTGTCGTTTCACCACTTTAGTTCAGCTAAGCTTATCAGGAATAGTGGTCACATCTTACAGTCTAAATTTCAGCCTTCTTCTATGTGTATCCATTACCACCCGTGTTTGAAATGATATTGACGGCTCGCTCTTTTCGAGACTCTCCATCAACAGTTAAGCACTTGATAATCAAAAATTGTATGTACACTCTATTTCCTAGTACAAACCTTGTCAACAAGACGTAAGACTTTTGGATTTGGTAGGAATTATGCGATTTTCGTAGTGTTTCTGAAGACTATTTCCATTATATTCCATGCCCAACCACATAAAAGCGTGAACCATGGCCTTTAAACGTATAAAATTATCAACTGCTTTTGCAAAATCATAAATTTAAATATCATAGTTGTACGACGGTATCCAATAAAACAAACCGGAAGTTCCGATTCTCGTTTTCATTTTACTACTTGTACTAAAAAATTTTTTCTATTATTTCTTTTTTTTAAATACCATTCATTTTCTTCTATTTTCAGTATTTTGAATTACGATTTAGCAAGGCTGTTCGGACTATTTGTACCATTATATACATCATTCAAATGGTAAGAATTTCGTAAAGGAATGCAGTTGTCTAAATTGTATCTTTACCAGCTAATGGGACCTAAATATTGTCAGTTAACCATAGTACTTTTCAGAATTAAATCCGATTCCTGGTTCTACTACAATTAAGACAGTCTTTATGAGATGTATCTTACAATTTTCAGTTCTTACGATAAAAGAAATGTGATGAGCATTTTTAGAAAGATTATTATCTGCAGAAATTATTATAATATTATAATTTTGATATCGTTTTTTAGACAATTTATATGGGAATAGTTTTATACGGACCATCTTTGGCCATCAATGCAGGTAAGCATACATATCGTTATCATCTCCATATAGGCTTTTACTAAACTTGAAGGCCAGGGATTCCATCCCCACAGGTCGAGATAATGCCTTAGGATATCTTCATTCCGCCCACTCCCCTTTCAGTGATGTTGATAAGGAATGGCTGACATGAAAAAGTGTGTAGTTGGACGGGGTAGTTAACTAAGACCCTATGTGCAAGATAAAGGTCCCCAACATTTGGAAATGAAAAATAAACTGAGTTTATGCCGCTGTTCTGGCAAATCGTCACTCACTCTAGTGCATGGCATTGTGCGTCTTCACTAGCTCAAATAGATTTAGGTGTCAATGATGATAAGTAGTTTATCAGTCCATTTCATTTGTTTTCCCCACTATTACAGTTACAAAGAAATACCTGATCATCGTACCATGTACAAAAACAGATATGACTACAGATATGATATATTTGTTTCAGTGACTGGTTTGTCTCTCTGGGGAGCGATTTTTGCTGTTGGTATTGTATGTATATTCTATACAACAATGGTAAGATAACAAATTGTCGAAAGCATTCGTCAGAATTAGTATCATTACGTTAGACACCTATACAGTTTTATTAAATATAGCCTTCTGCATTACAACAGATCGCGCCATATTTGCAACGCTTAAAGGAGCGGATTCGCCATCCGTATGATCAATTATTGTACTTTAGTTTCTGAAACGGGTATTTTTTTTTTGGTTAATTGATAGCTAAATTAATCAATAATAGTTTTCATAGCTCACTTTCGAAATTTGAGCCTTCAAATCCACGTGGATCCAGAATTATCGGCGTTTTAATGTTAAAATGACAACTGATTGTCTTTTCTGAGACTCATATAAATCGTACATATAAAAAAGACTTCTATACTAAAAGGAAAGAGAAATGCCTATTAGGTACGAGGTATTTTTAAAGGAATAATGTGATTTTTGTACATTTCTAGTACTTCTGAATATTATTTACATACTTTTTAATCCACCCCCGTAAATGGCGAAACTGTCCCTTTAAAAGTGGAAAAAAGTTCAGTTCAGTATATCGCTTTCTACTACCAAGAAGGTGACATCATTTCATTCTACCATGTTAAAAGATGTCCCAATATTTAATGCATATTCCAGACTAAAATGAGTCTACAAATATATTACTTAAAACAGTTAGTTTTAATTAAAATTGCAGGAACCGCAGACGTCTGATTGAGAACTGGAATCGTACAAATTGATGCTATCTGCGTCCTCATCCAGTTAAGGAAAACCTCTTTAAATCACTTTTATCACTTTTAAACCTGTTCGCAAATTTATTACAATTATCACATTAATCGGGTAGAAAATGTTTATGAATTTCAGGTCCCCTAAGAAAATTTTGCCTCGCCCCCTGAAAAATTTAGATGACGTAAATGACTTGTTGAGTCGCTATAGTTGAGCCCCCCTTCAAAAAATTTTGCTCCACCTGAGGCCCTAGGCTAGCAGCGGGTCTGATTACATTTGACATAACATATTAAACTAGGAGTTCTGAAACGTATCGTTAAGCAGGAAGTAGACCTATCACACTTACATAAGCAAAGGTTACTGAAACGTGTTCTATGTTCAACAAAGAAAAACATCAGAAGTCATTGTTTGTATTCTTCAGGGACTATAGGTTTTCATTTAGCGATTGTTAGCAGAGATTACGGTTGTTTGCCTGTCAATAATTACTGGTCCGTTAAAACTTTGTTAAATGTATAGGGACAATGAATCTTTTAAGCACTCCTTTACCTGCTGTGAAGCGTATGTGTGTTATGTTATTTATATACCTGTTTTACCTATGGGAGCTACATGTTTTCATTTGAAGTCTTGTTTATATTTCTTATTATCGAGGCTAGTCTGAAACATCCGCCTCTATTCGAACCTTTGATAGATATTTTGACATTTAACCTAAATAGCTGTTAGAGGCTGGAAGAGAGGCAGATGTTTCTGTCTACATTTTAACCTTCATTGCATTTTTTTTTAAATCACTTCATACAATATGACCGGCGAGATCTATTTTGATACCTATGCAATACACACAATAGCATAGCAATATACAGGCGTGCCTCAAGGCAGGTTTGGTTATAGGTGTAGGCATAAGCGGTCTTTATGGTCTCTCGTCCTCGTAATAAATACAAAGCCAATGCCAAGTCTCAGCATCATTAAAAGAAATAAATTCTAATGAACAATATTAACAAAGCACTTCGTTATAAAATATTTACTCCCTTAGGATTGGATTCTTCATGTGAAAAGTTCAATAACTGCTACCAATATTCCAATAATATTTTTTTTGTTTTTTCAGTTTTCGTTTCTCGAATCGTTAGTACTTGGTTAATTCAAGGGCAAGATATAGATTTATTTAGATTTTATGTAATATTTATAAGCTTATTTTTTTTTTATAAAACCTTTTACAGGGTGGTATGAAAGCAGTTTTATGGACCGACACATTCCAAATTATTATGATGGGTATTGGTTTATTGGCAGCATTGATTCAAGGTTCTATAGAAATTGGTGGATTTGGTCGTGCCTGGGAGATTGCTGAACAAAATGAACGAGTTGTATTTGACGAGTATGTACCATTAACATACTTACATTAACCACTCCCAATTAATTAAAGGCCAGAGTTTTCATTTTCGGTTGTTGATTTGGGTTTTGAATATATGTAAAATACTAGAACTGCACGAGAATCGCATAATTCCTTAAAGTATACCTTAAACAGCACGAGGCGGAGCCAGGTTTACGTCCGAGAGGGGGCGAGGGGGGGAGGGGCGAGAGTGAGATTGCCCGAACCTTTAACCTAGTTATGAGATTTTTGCCCGATATGCTTGCTTTCGGGGCTGCGAGGGGGGAGAGGGTACGGCTGCCCCCTCTGAATCCCCCCCCCCCTTTTTTTTAGTTCCTCCACTGAAAACAGCCTTTCCACTTATTTCGAAATACCGTCGTAGTTCGTTTCGTTCTGTGTTAGAACTCAACTGAGTTCACTTCCAATCAGACTACGCCCTTGATACACCTAAATACATGTGTACATGTATATAATGATAATCTTCAAATTATATGAATTCTTAAATTGTATTTATTCCTTTCATATTTATTGTATAAAAGTTACAATTGAAACCAGCTTGAGGCGTTTGAACTTATCGTGATATAAAAACTGTGTAGGGGGTATAACGAACCTAAATGAAGTTTTAACATAAATAACAAATTCGTAATAGGTATTCAAATATAAATTGTACATAACAAATTTGTTTAACAAGGGTGAATGAATACCCAGTAATTGGAATTTCCATTCATTCTTATTATAATATTCTTACTTTGTTCAAGTAGGTACCTTTATATGTAATTCAAGGGTTACTTGATGTAATTATATAATAGGCAATATACTCTAACATAAATACATTCAATATTTGAACGTCAACAAGTAATGCAATTGTGGGTATAATAGGCTATTTTTGTTGACATATATTTTTGTTTTAAAATTGTGTAGGCTCCTATTTAAAGTGAAAAACACAAAAAAGTGAATGCACGCAGTACTCCTATATTTCTTTTTAAATTTACTTTGACTGTGTAAATTTAGCTCAGTACCACAACACGGCGTTTCTTCTGAATCGGCTTTGCACCCTCGCCATTCCCCCAGCCCCATCCGTTCCAGTTTCAAATCCCCCACCCCCACCCCCGAGGAAAAATAAATTCCCAACCCAAAACCCAACTTATGCCATTACAGCAACTAAACACTATACACCAATGTCCCCCGGGATATATTACTTGTTCCTCCGAACAATCAAGTCTGGGTAACGGTCCTGTGCACAAGTTCTAGCAGTCGAACCAAAGAAGATCACAATATAAGAATATAATATAAAGACAAAGATAATATACAATTCATAATTTATTCCATGTCTCTAGTTTCAGTTTTGATCCAAGAACTCGTCATACTTTCTGGTCCCTGGTAATCGGTGGTGGAATCCTGTGGACGTCTATTTATGGAACTAACCAAGCCCAGATACAGCGTACCATGGCCTGTTCTTCTTTGAGAGATGCTCAGATGTAAGACACAATATTATTTAAATGGACAATTCTTCTCCCATCAATAGAAATTAACATTGCCTCGTGCATAAATAATAAGTCTCTCGAATTTTTCAAGCAAACGGAAGTAGTGAGAAAGGATAACATCTCAAGGTCATTGGACTTTTGCATGTTGTCCTATGCACTTGATTAGAATTTTCGCAATGGGTAACTGAAACTTCTGAAAGCTCTAAACCATGACCTTCTCGAATCCTTGAATCTGTATCTCAAAAAATGTTAAGTCATCTGAAATCGAAATTGTTATTGGTGAAGGTGTCCAAGATTTATTTTTTATATTCCAGTGCACTTTGGATCAACGCTCCGGGATTAATAATCATTCTGTTACTATGTTCAATGATTGGCATTGTGATGTATGCATTTTATAGCACATGTGACCCTTTGAAATTTGGTCTTGTTTCTGCATCAGACCAGGTTGGTACGTAAGTACTGAGAAAATACTACACAATCTGGAAATTATACAATGACAAATTATACAAATATTTTCAGTGTTAACAATAGTATTCAATATATCCATTGCAGAATGTACAGACCCGTAGGTTCAGGGGGCAAGGGGTCGAAAAAATGGAATGCTCCCCTGAAAAACTGCAACTGAACACCATACGCTATATTAAAATATCAAAACAGCACCTGAAACATTTTGTAAATCAAAGTTTCACGCTGTTCTGACTTGCTCCTTAGAAATTACAGTAAAACGTTGTTAGTAAACCTGTCAGTGAAGAGCGTTTTTGCATAGATTATCAGTAGTTTAACATGGTTTTGATTCATATTACGAAATTTTGGTAATTAATTATGAAGATATATGAGATTTTAAGATAAATTTCATTCGATTTAAGAACCGGATTTTGGCAATTAAGATGGTTTGTATAACGATTATTGATTCTATTTTAGTTATTCCCATTATTTGTGATGGATATTTTGGGTCACATACCTGGTATACCTGGTCTATTTATAGCCTGTATATTTTCTGGATCTCTTAGGTGAGTATTTGGACGTAGAAATCAACAGGGATCAGAATAAATTTGTCAGATTTTGCAGAATGTCAGAGTATCAGATGTCGGATATCACAGAGTACACTGTATTAATCGTACAATTGTATTGATGTTATGTTATGAGACCAGTTTCTATGTTTTTGATCGTTACAGATTACTGCTTGAATTACTGGAGTACTTGATTACCCGAGACTAAAAAAATATCTTTAACAAAGCAAATCACTTATAAAGTAGACTTGCATCATAATTTTTCTTTGGCAATAATATTCCAATATATGTCAAGTTAATAATTGAGTAAAGTATCAAATTCTTCAGTAAGATAAAACACAAAAGAATTT